CAAGGCCAAATCCTCATTCTGACTTCTAGGGTTTCTTAGTGAAAAGGTGATCAGCAGTGGCAGCCCCCTTGTAAGTGAAACTCGAGTTTGACTGTGTATATTACATGTTATTATATATTAGTGCCCAAGGGGGGGGCCATGGCAGCAATGGCAAGTACTAATGTTGTTGATAGGGTCCAGAGTTGACCTGATCCGTGGCTGAAGTCTTGGCTTTGGGTATGGTATGAGTGGGGTAAGTGCCCTGAGCTAGTGGGTGGAACATGCTAAGACTTTCGGGATGCCCTGCCCCCAGCTCAGTCTGGCTGGGGCTCCCAGGGTTGAAGAGCTGTGGCCAGGGGCTGAGGCCTTCCGGCTGGCCGCTCATTAAAAGAGGATTAGGCTGGGAGCCAGGGGGCCAGGCCAGCCCCTGGGCCTTCCTCTGGGGCCCCTCATAGCTTTGGAGGGGTGGAAGATGCTAAGGGTGACCCTTCCCTAGAGCCCATGGGAATGCTGAATGGGGATTTCCTGGGCTCTACCACTTAGCGTCATTGTCACTGCTTTATATCTCTCTATGTATTTTAAATATATAAGATATAGATCTATCTGGTTTGCCTCAGTTTCCCTCCTCAGGTCACGAGGCCTGTCTTCCTGGTGGATGATGCACTAACAAAGATCTAGATTGGCAGCCCCTTCACACCCAATCCCATTTCTCTTCAGCTCAGGGATTAGGGCTGCCACTAACTCACACTCACAGGAGGTCAGAGGTCAGAACTGGGCTACAGGGACCCGTCTATCACTCCCTCGTCCCCAGCCCTTTGGGGGAAGGTCACGCTGTCAGTCAGAGCCTATTGTTCTGTGGATCTGTAACCAAGGGGGCGGCACCCACCTCTACTATGAGACTCTTCTTTTTGCAGCAGCCCCTGCCTATCTGGTGGCAGGTCCGCAGCAGGGTGTGTGGCCCGCCCACTTGGGGTCTCTGGGGAGGGCTGTGGACACGCCTACTGGCTTCTTTAGAGTAAGGCATCAACCTCGCAGAGAGCCTAGGATCAAGCCCAAAGGCACTGAGATTGTTCCTGCCCCTGGACCTTGGCCAGGCCATTCTGGGGCAGGCTAGTGTCTTAACAGCCACAGGGAGAGGTCTGGAAGCTGGGAACGGCTGCGGAAATGAGGTGTCTGATGCCAGAAAAGGCTCTTCCTTCCCATGACGGGAAAATCCTTCCCGGATGCTACCCCACCCAACCTGTGCCCAGCTTGGGTGAGAGCCGGGGGGGTGGGGCTCTTCCCAGGAAACAGCACCCAGGCCACCACCCTCCCCTGACAAGCTCAGAACTCACTCTGACTGGAGTCTTACTGTCATGCACTGAGCAGAGGTTAAGACTGTCTGAAGATATGACTTGGCCGGGTCAGCATCAGCACCACACTCACTGATAGCCTCAGGCCCCCGGACCCTGTGGGCCCAAGTCCCTTACAGAGTATTGGACCTAGTAGGATCTGCTCATACTGCAGGTGTCAGCCAAGGGTACCTGCTTGAACGTCCCTTCCTGCTCTGAACCAGGCTTCTTAGGGAGAAGATAAAAACCCCAGATCCTTTGTCCTGTGGTATACAGTTTAGGTAGGGTAGGTCAGATTGCCCCATGGTACATGGGGTAGGTAGGGTAGGTTAGATTGCCCGTGGTACACAAGGTAGGCAGGATAGATCAGGTTGCCCCGTGGTACATGGGTTAAGTAGGATAGATCAGGTTGCCCCGTGGTACATGGGTTTGGTAGGGTAGGTCAGGTTGTTCCGTGGTACATGGGTTTGGTAGGGTAGGTCAGGTTGCCCCGTGGTACACGGGTTAGATAGGGTAGGTCAGGAAGCAGCCTAGGATGTGGGATCGTCGTGGGGCTTACTTGTGTTTTCTCCTGACATCCAGCATGAGTGGCATTAGCACCTGCGTCTTGAGTTAGCAAGGCTAGAGCCCTACACATGATTCTCTCTAGACCCTGGGGAACTACCTGTCTCCGCTTTTCTCTTATGTGCGCTGGCTCTGATGAATTGAGATTTAGCTGTGCTTCTGTGGATGGGGCTGGGGGAACATGCTGGTGTTACGGAGGTTGGGGCTGAGTCAACAGGAAGCCTCTTCCGTCCCTGTGGCCCTCTTTGCCCGTCTCCCCAGCTCTAGGAAATGGGGTAGCAGAGATGTGAGTGGGAGACATGGTGACATCTGGAAGGAAGCCTGCTTCCTCAGGAAAAGATCTGGGAACCCTAGCCCATTCTCTGGTCCCCCTTGAGACAGATATCCTTCAAGGTTGTGTTGAGGAGGCAAGAAGCATAACAGCTCTCAGGCTTCATCCAGGCCACCTTGAGTGTGAAATTTAGGACGCTCATGAAACGTTCTAGACTGGAAAACGAAGCTCAGAGCCAAGGGTATTTCAACAGAGGGGGGATAGGGGGTGTGTCAATAAGGGCCATACTGGAAATAGAGCCAGAGCCAAGGATCCCTGACCTCCCTCTGTTCTCTTCTCCAACCTGCATTGTCTCCTGGGGACTCCCCGCCTCCTCACCATTTCCACAGTGACTAAAGCATCATGTCCTGTGACACCAGAGTGTCCTATAATACCCGTCATTGACGCCATGTCCTAAAGCCATTGAGAGGAGTCCCTAGGGTCCTGAATCACGTCTATTGATGATGGAAGACGAGTCACCTTCCGGCTCTCCATCTCCTGGCAGGCAGTCTCTCATCACCAGGACTGGTTTCCATAGCCCCCCAACCTTCAGACATCAATCTTCATGCAGTTTGCCTGTCACTTCCCTTTCCTCTACCCTCATGTCCGTCCTCACTGATAAACTGGATGTAAGCACAAAGCTCCAAGGTGCCTGAGAGGCACCCTCCACCTGGGGCAGACTGGAGGAGATAGCGGTGGTGTATCAACATACATCAGAGAGAGCCTTCTGTTTCCTTTCTAGAACTTCTTTCCTCGTCTGCCCAGTGATGCCTTTCTTGTCTTTCTCACAGGGAGGTGGGGCCCTGGGAGCAGAATGCTGGTTTGGACTTGGATCTTGGTCCCTGGTAGTCAGCATAGGGTAGGGTCTAGGTTAGGAGGCCAAAAGTGAATAGGGATGTGGAAGCATGAGGCTTTGGGATTATGTCTGCTTGAGTGCCTGGAGGATAGCTCTCCGAACCTCCCACTGCTGACCTAGGTGCTATTAGAAGGTGTTCACTTGATCTTCTGCCCTCCTGTCTTCCATTGCCCCTGATGTGCCCCCTGGTGTAGCAGGATGAGTAAGGGCACAACCAAGGCCATGCCCCCAGCCAGGGTATAAATAACCCCTGGCAGGCTGTCCCAGCCTTGGGGGGGCTCCACTGGCAGCCCCACTTCCTCTCTGGCCACTTTGCAGCCCTGGGGGTGGGGGAATGTTTACTTTCCTGTTGTCACTGTGACTGGGTGGCCAGGCAGGAGACTCCGAGTGACCCAACAACAGGTGCAGGACAGGTGCCCAGGCTGCCCTGCCCAGGACTTCAGAGGCGCCGCCGGACAGGCGGGTGAGCCATAGCCAGGCAGGGATCGGCCCTTTGATCTTTCGGCGTCCCTGCGTCCCTCTGTCCCAGGGGCTGGCCAAGGTCATCACCTATACTCCCTTGTTGCTACATAATCAGGTCTGAGCAGGGCAAGGCTTCTCTTTGCCCTGCAGTTCTAAACAGTAAGAACCTGAACCGGACACAGGCTCAAGGCCGACGGTCAGATCTCCTTCCTCCATAGCCCAGCCCAGCCCCTTCATGTGCCCTGACCAGCTTGCTGGTCTATCCTAGGGTCTCTACAGACCAGCTGGAATCAGAGCCAGGCCAATCAAGGACAGCCACCTGCTGGTGCCACCTTCCGGCTGTGTCCTGGGCTTCAGATCTCAGCTGTTCTCTCTCCAGGTGCCTGGTTCTGGTCTCCCACTCAGTTGCCCCACCTGTGAAATTGGGTGCCAGCTGTGGGATCAGGGATTGGGCATATATGCTCCAGTAGTCTCTCATCTGTTGCAGGACACATTTGCATACCTGCTTCATGTGTGTGCATGTATGTGTTCTGTATGTTGCCACCTACGCCCCTTTCTGGTGGATATCCATGACCCTCAATCATAATTTTCACCTCTCCTGAGCTAAAAATAGCTGGAGTTGAACAGGGGACAGGCTTACCAAGTGAACCTTTCAGCTCCCCCAAAGACAGGTTCACAGACTTCCTGGAGTCCTGTGAGCATTGTTGGCCTGATGTTGGCTGAGCTACCTGTCATTCTTCCCAGGAAAGGCTTTGCCTTAGTGTCCTGAGAATAGGAGTCAGGGCTGCTGCAAACAAGCAGAAGGGAAAACAGAAGGCCCAACTGGACCCTGCCCTCGGCCCCTGGCATGGGGCTCCTATATATAGCATTGCTGGGGGAGCCCCCTTTCTCACGCTGACACCTCCTGGCTCATTCGGAGTAGGCTGAGAGTCTCATTCGCAGCCTTGTGGGGTCTGGTGGACTGAAGATCTGTAGGGTGTTACTGCTCCTTCAGGGCTTTTTAGTGTCTGGCTAGCCTGTTTCAGGGCACATGGAGACCTTGAGGTGTGCCAGCTGTGTCCTCTGCCTGGTGGTCAGCTAGGGTGAGGGCAGGGTACCCAGGCTCTGTGCCAGCATCTGTAGTGTGTTCTTACCCCACCCCCACTTCCACCTGCTCATTAACCCTTTCAGGCCCCCACCCTGAGAGGAAACATCTACCCCCCCACCTGAGCAGACTCTTTGATGCCATCACACACCTTGGCTTGCACCCATGACCCTTTCATTGGGATTAGCTTGGGCTGCCTGTGAATCAAGGGTTTAGCTTTGGGTGTGGCCCCTTCTCCGGCCTGCCCACATGTCCCACTTTCTCCTCCATGCCTGTCAGCAACTGGGGGGGGGGAGCTAAGTAGGTGCTGGGAGAGGAAGTGGAGGTTTAGGACAACTGTGGCCCCAAAGCCTCTCTGTCAGAGGGAGAGTGTCTCTTAAAGGCCCTAATTGGCGTCCTGCTCTTCATCCACAGAACTTAAGGCCACGGGTACCGCCCACTTCTTCAACTTCCTGCTCAACACTACAGACTACAGAATCTTGCTCAAGGACGAGGACCATGACCGCATGTACGTGGGCAGCAAGGACTACGTGCTGTCCCTGGACCTGCATGACATCAACCGAGAGCCCCTCATTGTAAGGGCTGGCCTGGAAGTGGGGCAGAGCAGGGTGAAGGGCATGGAGCTCAGGGTCAGGGGCCTGGCCAGCAGGCTGCACCCTCTAACCCCCATCTTTGGCAGATCCACTGGGCAGCCTCGCCACAGCGCATTGAGGAGTGCATACTGTCAGGCAAGGATGGCAATGTGAGTGCCTTGGGGTCCACGGAGGGTGAGGCCGTGACCTTGGAGAGGGGGCAGAACTGGGCAGGTATCTGAGCATCTACACGGCTTTCTGTCTGGCCGCAGGGAGAGTGTGGGAATTTCGTCAGGCTCATCCAGCCCTGGAACCGAACACATCTGTATGTGTGCGGGACCGGTGCCTACAACCCCATGTGCACCTATGTGAACCGTGGCCGTCGTGCACAGGTGAGTGAGCTTCCAGCCCTGGCTCTCTGCCGTCCACCTCTGGTGGCTTCACTCCAAGGTCCTGATGGGAGGATGGGCTTGAGCCCCACCCATTCTTATCACTTCCAAGCCCAGTGACCTTGGGTGAGTAAGTTGTTCAGCTCTCTGAGCCTCAGTTTCCTGACCTGGAAATGGGGCTCACAGTTCCCTTCTAACAGGTCGGTGTGAGGAAGAGGCAGTGAGTTAGAGCTCTCCAGCTAGCACTGTGCCTGGCGCATAGTAAGCATTTGCCCCACACGGGGCAGTAATTCTCTTGGCTATGCCTGTGGATCTTCACCAACCGCCAAGTCAGAGGGCCTGGTGGAGTCTTTGGTATCAGAAGGCTGGAAACCTGGGTCAACTTCCACCATTGTGGCCTGGGGAGGGGAGAGCTGCCTTCCTCCCCTTGGCCCAGGGGTTGGGGAAGCTGCCCTTTCCCCAGCTCTGCTCCACCCTGCCTGCTTCTGCCCTTTTCCATTTCCATGTGGGCATGTATGTGAGTTGATGTAACCTCGTAGGGCTTGTGTGAGAGTGGCTGGACATAAGGGGCACATGCGTGTGCAGGCGTGTGCCAAGCCTGTGTGTATGTGTGTGTACACATGCATATACGTTCTCTGGGGGCCCATGTGTTCATGTGTGTTCCTGGCCTGTGTGGTATGAGAGGCTGGCAGCCCAAGCCCGCTCCCCCAGCCCCTGCCATCCCCAGCTCTAACTCTCTATTCCTCGTCTTCTCAGGCCCCGCCGTGGACCCAGATGCAGGTGGTCAGAGGCCGAGGCAGCAGGGCCACAGATGGTGCCAACCGCCCGACGCCCACAGCCCCACGCCAGGTGGGCCTCATCCTTCTAGTCTTTTGCCAAGCCAAATGACTTCTGAGCTCAGTTTATCCTGGGCCTGGCCCCAAGGCCAGCTTCCCCAGTATCTCCCTCCTCCCTCATGCCCCCACCCCATTCCCATCCCTTCCCCTGCAGTGCCCTCAGGTTCTGAAAGCAGCTCCAGCTGGACTCCTGTCAGCCTCAGTGGGACCCCTGCAGGCAAGAAATCCTGAAGCCACCAGGTGGGGAAGACAGGAGTCCTGGGGACAGTTGTGCCTCAGTCCTGAGAATGTGTGTGGAGACACACATGAGCACATGCCAGCCTGTGCTTGGGCACATCTTCTTATCCACAGAGGGTCTGGCACATGACTCCTATGTGTCTGTTTCCATGCCTCCTGTGGGTCACGTAGCAGATACAGGAATCCTGCACACTCACATATGGGGGCTCTCAAAGGAGGCAGTGTGTCTGTCTGTCCATTAGTCAAGACTGGGGGTCTGGGCTGGGTAAGGCAAGCTGGGGCTGGGCAGGGGCGGGCAGGGGGGCAGAGGCTGCCGGTGAATGACAGCATGTGAGTGCATATGAGATTACATGTTTGTGCTTGTGTGTGTCTGTCTGTCTGTCTTCCTGGTGGGGAGTGCTGAAGAGCTAAGGCTGTCTAGAGTCTGTGTGTGTGCGGTGGGTTACATGTGCCGGTTGTGTTGCCTGCCGGTCTGCGTGCAGCCCCTGTGTGTACAGGAGGTTACGTGTGCGAAGTGTAACTGACCTTCCCATCACCATCCTGCCACTCGCTGCCACCTTCCTCTGCATTTCTCCTCTTCCCTTGCCCTGCCTTTGCCCTGCCCTCCCCACCAGGCCTGCGAGCTCTCCCTGGTCCCAGAGACTTCACAGGCCTTCCTAGCATCTCCCAGGGCAAAGTGGGTGGTGTGGGGATAGATGGCTGTTAGCTTTGTGAATCCCACACGATCTCAGCTGTCTCCCCCTTCCCCCAACTTGGCTCTCTGGGGAGATGTGGAGGGACAGAAAACCATGGACCTTTGGGTCCATCATGAGGTCCACAGGTACGGCAAAAAGCCTGGAGACAAACCTTGAGCTCCCTGTTTGGACCTCATGCTAGAAGAATAAGACCCCAGGCCTTATTCTTATTCTAACTATGCCCCTATTCCTACTCAGGTCTGCAGCACCTCCTTGGCCCAGGAGAGGCAGCTATATAGCTCAAAGTTCAGGCCTCTATAGCCCAAGGGGGTTTAGCAAGCATCTTCCTGAGCTAGTTGGCGTGGAGGGACTTTAGCCCAGATAAACCCACCCTGTGGTCCCCAAGACCTGGACCTCTGAGACTTGATCCTTAGTCCTTGCCTGAGGCATGAGATCAGAAATTAGTTCCCTTGGAAATACCATGGGCCTGCCCCAGGAGATCTGGCTAGATGGACTCAGGGTGTCCCCTTATGACATTTATCCTGTCTGTGGGACTGGCCTGGATGTGCTGAGCCCCTCTCTACCCTGCAGGATTACATCTTCTACTTGGAGCCTGAGAGACTGGAGTCAGGGAAGGGCAAATGTCCATACGACCCCAAGCTGGACACAGCCTCAGCCCTTATCAGTGAGTGCCTTCACCCCACCCTGGTTCTGTGGTGTCAGTATGTAGCCTTTGCCACTAGAAGGTGTGGGGGTTACCAGCACTCCTGAGTTGACCTTGTCAGAGAACATGATCCTGTCCCATTAGCATACCTGGAGGAGGTGAGGGCACAGCACAGATTCCCGGGTGAGCTGAGAGGCAGAGCTGGGTGTATAAGTCTCCGCCCAGCCTTCTGGATGGGACCCTAAGAGGCCAGATCTTCCCCCGAGATACCAAGTGGGGTCTTGGCAAAGCCTGGAACCCTGGGAGCCATGGCTTGCCTAGAGGAGAGATAAGCTGGGTTTGTACTGAGAGTCGTATGAAGGGTTCCATGTGTTGAGGAGACCCGAAGGGGCTCACACAGAACACCCAGAACAGCTGGGGAGGACGTGTTTCTGTACTATGCAGATGTTTGGGAGAGTTGGGGGCTCTTTTTAAGGCAGTGTCCTATTTATTGGAGACTGGAGCTGAAGGAAGCTAGGATGTGCTGGAGCCAGCTCAGCAGCTGAATTTTCAGGAATTTTGTGATCCAGTTGTTAAATACGGCTGTTATTGAAAATCAAATTATAAAGGCTCACAACCAAATCAATTGTATTAAAACAGAAGTAATGGCAGCAAAATATAATAAATGCTCAAAATTTATTACTTCCTAATTGTTTTACTACATTGCCACATTGTAATACGGCTTTTGAGGCTCTTTAGGCCTGTTATGATTGTGTGGTAGAGTCTTACAGGGTAACACTGGCGTGTCCTCCCAGCTCTGTGGTGACTACAGGTTAGCAGCTTGAGACAAGCTGGGATAGGAGGATCCCAGAAATTGGCTATTGCCACTGGCAGGTCTCCTCCGAGAACCAGTTGTAAACACTTAACAAAAGATATGATCATGCCCTGGGCAGCTCAAAGCGTGGGGCTGGGGGCATGCCTCTGCCTAGGAGTCCCCGAGTCTGAGCAGTCCCCTGACTAATGTCTGACCCCCTACAGATGAGGAGCTCTATGCAGGAGTGTACATCGATTTTATGGGCACTGATGCAGCCATCTTTCGCACACTTGGAAAGCAGACGGCCATGCGCACCGATCAGTACAACTCCCGGTGGCTCAATGGTGAGCACCACCCACAAGCCCTTAGTGGGAGGTGTGGCTGTGCTGTGCAAGGAGATCTACAGACGCACGCCTGGGGGAGGGTTTTGAGCCTGGGACAGGGCTGGTTTCCTGTTGGGGATTCTAGTGGAGAAAAAGAAACATAGCCAGGGTGCCCATGCTGCTGACCCCTGCCCGCCTGTCTGCCCACAGACCCTTCATTTATCCATGCTGAGCTCATCCCTGACAGCGCGGAGCGGAACGATGACAAACTCTACTTCTTCTTCCGAGAGCGCTCCGCAGAGGCTCCACAGAACCCGGCTGTATATGCCCGCATCGGGCGCATCTGCCTCGTAAGTGTCTGTAAAACTCGGCTGCCTCTCCCTCCCCAGACCTACTCCAGCCAGTCTGGGGTGTGAATGAGTTGATCTAATCTGGCTCCCTGCCCACACCTCCAGAATGATGATGGCGGCCATTGCTGCCTCGTCAACAAGTGGAGCACATTCCTGAAGGCGCGACTCGTCTGCTCGGTGCCAGGGGACGATGGCATCGAGACCCACTTCGATGAACTCCGTGAGTGCTCAACAAGCTAGCGGGGTCCTATAGCTGTAGAGGGTGATGGGGGATGGATCAGTGGTGGTCAGGGTCCCTCTAGGGGGACCCCCTCCCTTAGGCAGTGTCCCCAGTACCGTCTCCCTTTTTTTCCAGAGGATGTGTTTGTCCAGCAGACCCAGGATGTCAGGAACCCTGTCATTTATGCTGTCTTTACCTCCTCAGGGTGAGGTTGGATCAGGCCATGCAGTGGCAGGATTGGGGGGTTATGGCTTGTGGAGGACCCTGGCCTGGTTATGAGCTGTTGAGTAGATGTGGGCTGGGGAGGGCCATGGGCTCATAGCAGTAACCTGCTTGTTCGTACACAGCTCTGTGTTCAGAGGCTCTGCAGTGTGCGTCTACTCCATGGCTGACATCCGTATGGTCTTCAATGGGCCCTTTGCTCACAAGGAGGGCCCCAACTACCAGTGGATGCCCTTCTCAGGGAAGATGCCATATCCCCGGCCTGGCACAGTAAGTGCCCCATGTGTTTCTCTTTGTGTAGAGTAGGCTAGCCTCCAATTCAGAACTCAGAAGACTACCTGCCTCTGCCTCCTGAATGCCAGGATTAAAGGCATGTGCCATCACCACCCAGCTTTTTTTTTTAACCTTCCTGTCTTGAGACTGTTTTTCCCTGGCTGCCCTGGAACTTACTAAGTGGATCAGGCTTGGCTCAAACTCACAAAGTTCTGCCTGCTTCTACCTCCCAAGTGCTGAGATTGAAGGCGTGTCCTCTGGTTTTTGTTATTGTATGTGTATGGGTGCTTGGCCTGCATGTATGTCTGTCTGCACCACATGCATGCCTGGTTCTTACAGAGGCCAGGAGAGGACATCGGATCCCCTGAACTTACAGATGGTTGTAACCTCAATGTGGGTGCTGGGAATTAACCTTGGACTTCTAAAAGAGCAGCCAGTGCTCGTATCTTCTGAGCCTTCTTCCTAGCTTTTCTGCTTTGTTTTTAAGAGGCCTCCCCACTCTCTGCAGACATGGACTCCACTCTACTGAAGCTCCCAGTCAACAAGGCAGTGAGACACAGCACACTTAGAAACTTCTATTCTCAGCCAGGCATGGTAGCGCACACCTTTAATCCCAGCACTTGGGAGGCAGACAGGTGGATCTCTGTGAGTTCACAGCCAGCCTGGTCTACAGAGTGAGTTCTGGGACAGCCAGGACTGAGAGACCCTGTCTCAAAAAAAAAAAAATACTTTTCACACAACATGTATTAGGCTGTAAGGAAAGTGGCTGCCCAGGGTTCTGAGGCAGATGGGGCCTGCTGTGGTGGGCTGCCCCTTGGAGGGTACTCTAGGAACCTTTATGAGAGGTGAAGTTTAGAGGGGTAGAAGTCAGTCTGGCTGGCTGGCTGCCAGCAGGGACAGTGATGAGGAATAGTCAGGATCAAGCCATGTGTGCTCTGTGTTGTTGGTAACTATTCCACTTTATCTGGGTGTGACCTGGGTAGGCGTGCCCCAGGAGACTGAGTGTGGGAGCGTGGCAGGTGTGTCTGTGGGCTCATCAGGACTGGCCTGAGGAAGCTGGTCTCGGAAGGGGTCTGGGAAGGCTTCCTACCAGAATGAAGCTGGAGTAGGTCTAGTGTGTGTCATCTTCTTGAGGCCAGCAGCCCAGCTGCACAGGAAAGAGCAGTGAAGCCAGAGGGACAGCCAGAGAGGAAGGAGACAGCTGGACAGGGATGAGGACACGGGAAGGGAGTGGTCAATTCAGCCAGAAGCTGCCACAAGGTCATGACGCATGATCTGGTGGGAGGGAGAAGTCAGGAAAGGATCCAGAGAGGGAAACAGGTAGATGTGGAGTCAGTCTGGAAGCTTCTTCTGTGCTCATGGGTCCGCGTGTCCCACCTGGACAGCCTAGGACTGATGCTCGCTGTCTGCCCGCAGTGCCCTGGCGGAACCTTTACGCCATCCATGAAGTCCACTAAGGATTATCCTGACGAAGTCATCAACTTCATGCGCAGCCATCCGCTCATGTACCAGGCTGTATACCCGCTGCAGCGGCGACCCCTGGTGGTCCGTACAGGTGCACCGTACCGCCTCACCACCGTCGCTGTGGACCAGGTGGATGCAGCTGATGGGCGCTATGAGGTGCTTTTCCTGGGCACAGGTACCCACTGCTGCTCTCAGACCCTCCCACACTGGGCCCACTGGATGGGAGGAACTGATCCAGGGGCCATATTCTGCCCAGCTAGGGGTTGCTTCAAACTCATCTATGGGAACCTTCTCTCCTTGACCAGAATAGCCAGAAAAGTAGGAACACCAGGCACCTAGGGGCCCTTGTATGACTTGAAAAGAACTTAGGATGCATGGTTCTAACTGCTTGCCCATGCATGTATACACACACACACACGTAATTATACTTGTCACAATTATGACAGCTTCCAACTCAGTTGCCCATTTTCTGTTCTCAGCAGGGCCCAAAATGAAAGTCTGGGTGTGGGGGGGAAGACCCTGGCAATGACCCCCTTTGTCCTGTTCTAGTCTCTCCCCGCATCCCCCCCCCCCCCCCCCCCCCCCCCCCCCCCCCCCCCCCCCCCCCCCCCCCCCCCCCCCCCCCCCCCCCCCCCCGCAGTTCTCCCTTTATCCAAGGGAGGCCTCTGAACCTCAGCATGGAAGCCCTACTCCACTGCCCTAGAGGAGATGGGGCTTTGGCGGGGAAGGGGCTGAGGCTTTGCCCCTTCCCCAGCATCCTCAGCCCCACTGAGGTCCTGCCCGGCCCGTTCCAGACCGCGGGACAGTGCAGAAGGTCATCGTGCTGCCCAAGGATACCCAGGAGGTGGAGGAGCTCATGCTGGAGGAAGTGGAGGTCTTCAAGGTAGGTGAAGTACCGCCCAGTCCTGCCTACAGCACCTTGCCCCTCTCTGGCCCCCAGCCTCTAACCTCAGACCTAAGTCAGGGCCGGGAGGGCTCCTCAGGGTCCCAAATTGACCCCTGTTTTCTTCCAGGAACCAGCAGCTGTGAAGACTATGACCATCTCTTCCAAGAGGGTGAGTTTTTGGCAGTGTGGACTGGGAGTGAGGTTGGAGCCTGCGTCCCAGTGGGGTCACGCCCTTGGCACAAGGATGGGGAAAGTGAAACATGAAACGGGGAGAGAAGGAGTCCAGCCCGACTGGCTACCCTAGGACTGTCTGAGGGAAGGGAACTGACACTGCCCCACTTCCGCCCCCAGCAACAACTCTATGTGGCCTCAGCTGTGGGTGTCACACACCTGAGCTTGCACCGCTGCCAGGCATATGGAGCTGCCTGTGCTGACTGTTGCCTCGCCCGCGATCCCTACTGTGCCTGGGATGGCCAGGCCTGTTCCCGCTACACAGCATCCTCCAAGAGGTATAGACCACCAAAACCTTGGGTGTTATCCACAGCTCTGGGAGCTCAGAGGGGTGGGAACAGAGTGGAACATGGATAGGAAGACATAACTGCCCTGGGGTACAGGGCCCTGCTCTAGAGTCTTGGGGTGCAGGAACCTGGGAGCAAGCCTCCCAAGAATACTCCTTCAGGAGTTATCCTTATCCAGGCGGAGTCGCCGGCAAGATGTCCGCCACGGGAACCCCATCAGGCAGTGCCGTGGGTTCAATTCCAATGGTGAGTGAGCATGTTGCCCTTCCTGTAGGGTGCTTTTCAGCTATGCCCACAGACGCTCCCACACACACCGTGAAGATGCAGATGACTCCCTGGGTGGTGGGAACCTTAGGCATGGGATCAGGACGTGGATAGATACTCCGTGATGTTGTCCTGTCTTTGTGTGTGGGTGCCCCTTGATGCCTGCCTCTCCCTACGGAACAGACTGACTGCCTAGGAGCAATGCTGCTTCCACTCAAGGCCCTCTTGATCCACAGCAAACAAGAATGCCATAGAGTCTGTGCAGTATGGAGTGGCCGGCAGCGCGGCTTTCCTTGAGTGCCAGCCTCGCTCACCCCAAGCCACTGTTAAGTGGTTGTTCCAGCGAGATCCCAGTGACCGGCGCCGTGAGGTGAGTTCCTATGTCCCACAAGGGGCAAATTCTGCACTGTGGGTATGGGAGTTCCTGTTCGCAGTGGGAGCCCGTGTGGGGGATACAGAGCATGGCAGCCAGCCTGGGGCAGCCTTCACTCTGTGAGCCCCTTCTAAGTGCCCACCCTTACACCGAAATCACTGGAGTGAAATGAGTTACATAAGCAGCTGTGGGATAGGCTTCAGTATATGGAACCGTTCATAGGCTGGCTTCATTTAATAAAAATTCCATATCTGAGCTGGGCATGGTGGCGCTCGCCTTTAATCTCAGCACTCAAGAGGTAGAGACAGGTGGATCTTTGAGCTCGAGGCCAGCCTGGTCTACAGAACAAGTTCCAGGACAGCCAGGGCTACACAGAGAAACCCCGTCTTGAAAAACCAAAAGAACAAACTATTCCATATCTGTACTCTGTTGGGGTATCCTCCTTGTATGGAACATCACGTGGGTGAGCTCCAGTATATGGAAACTCTGTGGATATTTTCTGGAAAAGCCTTACCGGTGTCCCTCTTTATGTGGAGATGGTATGTGGGTGCCACAACTGGGTATTCTCATTAAATGGAAATTCTGTGTGTGCTCCAAAATTTTCTCATTCATTGTTCAGAACCCCTAACCCCAAGGGTTATCATCCACCCCCTGAACTGGGAATATGTGTGGGCTCCTTGTTCAGATCCCTCCCATGTACAAGCAGTACGTGGAAATACCACGTGGGTCTCTGCTTGGAATGGCCAGGAAGGTGGTCTCATCTGGAAGCTGGCTAGGGCCGTGGAGTGGTGACCCAGCCCCTGAGCCCCCACCCCTACCCCTGCAGATTCGTGCAGAGGACCGCTTCCTGCGTACAGAGCAGGGGCTGCTGCTTCGCGCCCTGCAGCTTGGTGACCGCGGCCTCTACTCCTGCACGGCCACTGAGAACAACTTCAAGCACATCGTCACTCGGGTGCAGCTGCATGTACTGGGCCAGGACGCCGTTCATGCTGCCCTCTTCCCCCCACTGGCTGTGAGCGTCCCTCCACCTCCTGGCACAGGCCTCCCCACACCTCCTTATCAGGAGCTGGCCCAGCTCCTTGCCCAGCCGGAAGTGGGCCTCATCCATCAGTACTGCCAGGGTTACTGGCGTCATGTGCCCCCCAACCCCAGGGAGGCTCCAGGAGCCAGACCTCCTGAGTCCCAGGACCAGAAAAAGCCCCGGAACCGTCGCCATCACCCTCCGGACACATGAGGCAACTGCTGGAGGCCTACATAGGACCAGCCTAGCCCCTCATCCCTTTTAATATAAAAGATATATATATATATATAAAATATCTATATTCTATACATACCCTACCCCTGCAAAGACAGTATTTATTGGTGGGTTGTATATAGCCTGCCTTAGTGGCAGCATTATTCAGAACTTAGACCCATGTTGGTCAGCAATGGCACATGACTGAGCATGCCCAGCCTGGCCCAGGAAGTTGCCAGGGCCAGGCCAAGACCACACAGTCCCCAGACTGCGGAAATCTTGCTCTACAGCTGTCAAGATCTACAGAACACAGGGAGGGAGCGAGCCCTATTTGCCAGGGCATGGACCATATACCTTTGCTAATGAGTGTTGTCAGCTGTTCCATGGCGTAGACATGGACACCAGGACTGCTGTGGTGTCTGGGGGTGGGGCCTGAGGGCACTCAGAAGGGAGGACGGGGCCATCACAGGATTCAGGCCCCTGCCTGGGTCAGGGGTGCTCAGTCAAGGCCAATCTTTCCCAGGTATTTATTCTCTATTTATTGGGAGCAGAAGAGAAGTCTGCCTGGGTGGGGCAGGTCTTTCTCTTCTCCCTTCCTTGCCTGTCCTGACAGGTCCACCCCACTCTACCTCCTTGCCACCTTGACCCGTGGGGAGAGAAGCAGCAGGCTGGATGCAGGTGTGGCTCAAAAGAGCCCCCAGCCCTGAGGGTTGATGGGCCATGGTGGAGGCCCAGGGTCTGCAGGGCATCCCCAAGGTTCCCTTCTGCCCACCGCTTCTGGTGATGGGTGTAAATAGCTCTGGGGGGCAGTTGGGTAGATGGGGGGGGGGCTCCTGCAGCCCTCTGCTCCCCAGGCCACACCTGCTCTTGGGTTCCATCTTGCTAATAAACACTGGCTCTGGGACTAGACTTTGCCTTCTCTCCTTGGTGGTTGGAGTGGGAATGGAGGTGGGTTAGGCCCACACGTCTCAGCACTAGAGAGCCAGAGGCAGGCTAGTCTCTGTGCCTTTGAGGCCAGCCTGGTCTACAGGGCAAGTTCCAGGACAGCCAAGGCTACACAGAGACCCTGTCTCAAGCCCCCCCCCAAAGAAAAGCACTCCCCCATTTTGGGGCTGGATAGATGAGATGGCTCAGCAGTTAGGAGCACTGGCTGTCTATCCAGAAGACCTAGGTTCACTTCCCAGAATCCATGTGGCAGCTCACAACTGTAACTCCAGTTTGAAGGGATCGGATACCTTCACATAGGTAGATGTGCAGGCAAAGCACCAATAAAATAAATAATTTTTAAAAAAATCCATATGTAGAAAAACAGGCTAGATTTAATTAGTGCTCCTATACTGCCTTAGAGAGCTATGCGGCTGCCTGCAATGTGGAAGGGAAGGTCTAGGTGGCTCCTGCGCAGAGGATGAATGCCTGCAGTGCCAGTTTAGGTTGTCTGCTTCCTGCACCGCCTGATCAGGGATAACTTCATGCAGTGCCTGTGGCCCTGGCACACTCCTAGTAGTCTGTGGTAGGGTCAGGTCTGGTTTCAGGGAAGGGGTCCAATGAGGAGGCTCCAGACCAGTCTAGATAGCCTTGAGAGTCAGGATACAGGTTTTCAGTTGTGTGCAGACAAGCTCAGCAGGTGCCATGCTTTCACCAACTGCCACACCTGAGCTGGTCTCCAGACCCGGTAGAGGCTGTCAGGTTTTAGTGCTACCCCGTGCAGGTCCCACATTGTGAGAGGACTGAATAGGAGCAGGGCAGGTGAGTCCCCACTCTCCCATACTCTGGGGCAGACCAAGCCTCAGCATCCATCTCTAACAATCAGCCTGCCAAAGATTCACTCAGCCGGGCGGTGGTGGCGCATGCCTTTAATCCCAGCACTCGGGAGGCAGAGGCAGGCGGATCTCTGAGTTCGAGACCAGCCTGGTCTACAAGAGCTAGTTCCAGGACAGGCTCCAAAATCACAGAGAAACCCTGTCTCGAAAAACAAAAACAAAAAAAAGATTCATTCAGTTTAACCACCTCTATAGTGATTTTGTTGCACCTAAATACACATGTATATATAGACAAATATATGCACTTGGACCAGCACAGGCAAGCTCTGTGCACACACACATGGACACGGGTGTGCACCTAAATACATAGGCAAGTGGGCTGTAGAGTGTGTCACAGTTAACACATTTGCACATTCAGGCACATGTGAACAGCTGTGAACCCATACAAAGCACAGCAAAATAAACATACGACCACCTGTGCTAGTACAGGATGCACATGCAACTCAGGAGTAAAGTACATGCCAACATGCAGGAATCCCTAAATTTGATCTCCAGCATATACACAGCACCAATGCACACACACACATTGCATGCATAGTCACATAAACAGGTATGTAAGTGCATGCCGTCAAGCTACTAGCACACATACAGGCTCAAGTATGTCAGATCCTTACTTGGTCCTAGTAAGGAGCAGAAAGACACATGCAGGCATGCACAGCAGACTCACCCTGCAGAAGGCATGTAGGGAACATGCTTAGGTCATATTTAGCCCTGAATATGAGGCAAATATAAAGTCATCTATCCCCTTGTGGCTTCCAGCAGGCACAGAACCCTCTGATCCGGAGATACCCCGCTTGTGAACCACTGCTAATCATGTGACCCCATCTCTCCTAACCTGTAAAATGGGGCTGTGATTTAGGCACCATCTTCCCCCAAGATGTAAGCTCACAAAAGAGTGGTCGTGAATCCAGCTGGGCAAACAGTAGGTCCTCGTGCCTGTTTCTCCGTCAGTATTCCCAGCCAGTCCCTACCCTGGTTCCCTCAACTATACCGAGCAAACTCCTATAGGACAGGGGAACGACTTGCTAGGGTCTCTTCTGGAGAATTGGAGGGGGCTGAGGGGTGCAGAGTCAGCAGCCCGAGGATTGGGACTTTGCCACCCTGATTAAAAAGCTAGGAGACTGAGCTTCACCTGTCCTTGTCTCTGATTGGCCCCAGAGCGTTCCTAGCTCCCAAATCCCACTAAGCAATCCTGCCAGGGCCTGCACGGGTCTGTGGAGAGCCAGTTGATTGCCAGCTTTAGGGCCAAAAGGTCTGAGGAGGTCAGAAGCTACCTACCCTATCCCTTTGCCTGCTCCTGGGACCATGGGGGCCGGGGCCAGCGCTGAGGAGAAGCATTCCAGAGAGCTAGAAAAGAAGCTGAAAGAGGATGCTGAGAAGGATGCTCGCACCGTGAAGCTGCTGCTGTTGGGTAGGGGTGCGGCCAGTGTTGGGGAGGGGCTGCTGCGGGTCAGCAGCCTGGGGCCAGGCAAGCAGCCTTTCTATGACACAAGGATTCCTTGCGGGGTGGGGGTGTGTGTGACAATGTGGTGGGGCAGGGTACAGAGTAGGAGCCGGTCCCCAGCAAGGTCTGACAGGTGGTGATGTCCCAGTCCCCTAAGGTTAGGTATCCCATGACAATTTCCCAGAGACACACTGCAGAAGTGTGTGCCAAACACATCTTTGTATAAAGGTGTGTATTCAGGCACACTTTGGCCCTCAGGCTCTAGCCTTTGGTTTTCCAAAGCCTGCTCAACAAGGCTTGGGTCTTCTTGGTGGCTCTTTCTCCCTCTGGAATAAGGCTCTAGGGTCGCCCATGTCTACAAAGACCATGAGTACCATAACTTTATCATCAGTAGACCTGTGAAACAGCTAAAGAAAGTAGAAAGATGCCAGTGATGGTGCACGCCTTTAATCCCAGCACTTGGGAGGTAGAGGCAGGCAGGTCCCTGAGTCTGAGGCCAACCTGGTCTTCGGAGAACGTTCTAGACTAGCCAGAGCTATACAGAGAAACCCTGTGTAGGGGTGGAGTGGGGGGACAAAGTGAAAAGATATTGATGCCTGTATGAATAAAGCCAAGCCCATGATCCCATGGGTGGTAAAGAGAGATGGGGGTGTTGCCATTGCTTAACCCCCAAGGGAAAGTTGCTGATTTAGGGGGGCAGCCAGGGCCCCCAGGAGAAAGACCGAGAAGCTAAGCCGGAAATCCCATTAATTGTATCCAACACCCTTGAGGAGGGCAGGCTCAGAAAGGATGTCAGCTCTGTCCTCTTCCCCCATCTAAGGTGCTAATTCCCTCTGAGCCTCTCAGAGACATCTCTTAGCCTTTAGGTGAGAAGCAGAAGTTGGTCCTATTCAGATAATCCTGTACATGCAGTGCCAGAAATACCCACAAGGTGGCCCTAGAGGACTTCCTTATTTTGGTCTCCCAGCATAATAAAGGCTCTATATACAGGATCTTAGGGAATCCCCACCTGAATGGGCACAGTTAAGGCCACTTAACTGATGTAGGTCCCTTTTGTCATTTGCAACCATTTTCCCCTAGGGGTCTTCAAGACTTTACTTTGGATAGAATTAAGGGCAGGTGTAACTAGAGTTCTAGCTGGCACCCGAGTGCTGATCCAAAGGAGGTGGTCAGTGCTGGTCAGTGCGGCTCTGAGGCGCAGCTTCCCTTCCAGGTGCTGGTGAATCCGGGAAGAGCACCATTGTCAAGCAGATGAAGTGAGTCTTCCCTGCCCATCCTAAAGCCCTTAGTGATAGCCCTTCCCTGCTGGCCTAGGAAGCTCTGACTGCGGTTTGGGTTGTAGGATTATCCACCAGGATGGTTATTCGCTGGAAGAATGCCTCGAGTTCATTGCCATCATTTATGGCAACACTCTGCAGTCCATCCTGGCCATTGTTCGGGCTATGACTACGCTCAACATTCAGTATGGAGACTCCGCACGACAGGTGGGGCAGGCTGATATCTGTCCCTGGGGGCTCGAGGCCTCTGACTAGGCTCAGTTTCGCAATCACTACCTTACCCTACCACCAGGATGATGCCCGGAAGTTGATGCACATGGCGGATACTATTGAAGAAGGCACGATGCCCAAGGAGATGTCCGACATCATTCAGCGTTTGTGGAAAGACTCGGGTATCCAAGCCTGCTTTGAACGTGCCTCAGAGTACCAGCTCAATGACTCTGCTGGCTAGTGAGTGCCCAGATGGATGCAGGGCGCGGAGGAGGTGGGCGGGGATGCAGGGAGCAGAGGTGGTGGGTGGGCAGGACCCACCTGGGGTGATCTCCCACACCACTCACCCACTCATGCCCAGTGATCTTCCTCAGCTACCTTTCAGACCTAGAGCGTCTGGTGGCTCCAGGGTATGTGCCCACTGAGCAGGATGTGTTGCGTTCTCGTGTCAAAACTACTGGCATCATTGAGACACAGTTCTCCTTCAAGGACCTCAACTTCAGGTAAGACCCCTGCACGCATGTTCAGCTGACTTGACCGGAACTTTACTGTACCGAGTGAAGGCCCTGCCCTTGCCGGGAGAAAGGCTGGTCACCTCAGATGCCAATCCATATGAGAGCTCTCCAGCCAGATTAGGAAGACAAGGGGTGCCAGTGGGCACATCCGAGTGACCTGATACACAGGTCCAAATCCGGATTTGGCTCGGTCCTACAGAATGTTCGATGTGGGCGGGCAGCGGTCCGAGCGCAAAAAGTGGATCCACTGCTTTGAGGGTGTGACCTGCATCATTTTCATCGCGGCACTGAGCGCTTACGACATGGTGCTGGTGGAGGACGACGAAGTGGTAAGTGCCAAGTGGGCCTGAGTGTTTGAGAAGGGAGCTGGAGCCGGGGTAGCCACTGAGACCCACAAAGCAGAGGCTGTCTGGGAGCGCTTGGAGTGAGGAGTAGCCTACATCCCAGGAGCCAAGAGACCAAGGGTTCGCGGCCTGCGCAGCCTGGTGTCCAACAGCCTCTGCCTCCCTCAGAACCGAATGCACGAGAGCCTGCACCTGTTCAACAGCATCTGCAATCATCGCTACTTCGCCACGACATCCATTGTGCTCTTCCTCAACAAGAAGGACGTTTTCTCTGAGAAGATAAAAAAGGCACACCTCAGCATCTGCTTTCCCGATTACGATGGTGAGATTCCCTAGTCCCGACCGCCAGGCGGTGCCCCAGTCCCAAGGATTCCGGCTGTGCGCTCCTTCCCGAGAGAGGGCTTCCCACGCAGAGTGAGTGCTGCCCTCTGCCGCAGGACCTAACACTTACGAGGATGCCGGCAACTACATCAAAGTGCAGTTCCTCGAGCTTAACATGCGACGTGACGTGAAGGAGATCTACTCTCACATGACGTGCGCCACCGACACACAGAACGTCAAGTTTGTCTTTGACGCTGTCACCGACATTATCATCAAAGAGAACCTCAAAGACTGCGGGCTCTTCTGAGGTGGGATCCTAGCTAGCCAGACCTTCCACCGTCCTTCTCGGTAATCTCAGGGCCCGAACCCTGCCCCTCATTCCTCACGGTGCTCCCTGCTCCAGACTGCCCCATTTACTGCTGCCCACCCCTAAGCCCCGCCCCAAGGCTTTCAGGCTTCACTCATTAGGAGAGGCCCCTCCCTTACTATTATGCTCAACATATGTACATCCCTCCCCAACCTCTAGGTGCATGGGGCTGCCCCCACAACACTTAATCCCATTTATTTTGCTGCTCCATGATGCTAAAGTTCCATTCCCTTTTCTCTTCACAGATGCCAGAATTCATGTGTGTACCTTGCTCTGAGACTCTGTAGCCCAGCTGCCCTATAGTCCCCTCCAATAATTCCTGTGCCTCAACCTGCTGCCAGACATCCAAAGCCCTGAGGCTTGAAGTGCGGACCCTCCCCTCGGTCCCCAACCCCGCCCTTCACCGCCTGGCTGCACTGGCCTCTTGGACCCACAGCAGCTAGCCTCAGCTAGGACAAGGCAGGACTTGGGACAGCTGGAGCTCACAGTGACTCAGCAATACCCAAGTGACCCGGGTCTCCTGACGCCCTTCTGCCACCCCCACCAGCAGCAGCTCACCTGGTGGATCTCGGTTCAGCAAACAGCCCGCCCTCCCTCCCCAGCTTTCATGAAGGGCTTGAGGTATCCCTCCCTCAAGCAGGCTTGCCACTTGCCAGCAGGTCATTCCAGCCTGCTACCTGCATATGACAAGTCCAACATCTGTCCACCCAGTGGTCAGTGACTGTCCCTTCCAGCAACTAAAGGGATCCAAAGTTCAAGCTCTGGTCTTTTGTAGCCTCACATAGATAAACTAGTGACTTTGACATGGGTGCCAGGGAGAGACACAAGCCAAACCTATTCCCAAATACCAGGCTCGGGGGTATCTCCCAGTCCCTTGTCCCTCTGGGTCTTCCCTCTCTGTCCTTGGACACTTCCACACCCCACCTTGTTCGCCCACACACAATACTCAGGGTTTTCTGGTCAAGGTATGGTGTATTGAAGGAGAGTACATTGACATCCGCTATGACCAATAACCATGCTATGCTGAGGGGTGGCTGAGGGCAGAGTCCAATGCCTATTGATCAACCATGGGCAAAGAATATCCCATGTGAGTTTGCAGGCAATCCCATGTGACCCTGTTCTCCCTCCTAATTCAGGGCGCAGTCCTTGGGAGAGAGAAGTGAAAGCCATGCCTGAACCATTAGAGACAATGCCCACGTCCTACGGCCACTTCTGCTTTCTTCATCAAGCAGCTTAAGTCTGTGGACCAGAGGCAGCGCTATGGTCTGAGACACAGTGATTCTGTCCAGCAAGGCTAGGACGTAATCTGTACTTCCCCTAGCTACATGCCCAGACTCAGCAATAAACCTTTGCACCAGGTCTGCTGTTCTTCCTTGGGTCAGTGGGGGAATCTTAGTTACCATGAGTCCAGGACGTTTATTAAGTTCCCAGCAGTAGGCATGTGTGATCTAGGAAGAGGATCCCTTCCGAAGTAAAACGCAAGCGTGTGGCCTGACTTGGGCTCGAGAAATCTCGGAGGAGGATAATGGGTCCAACTCAGCAGAGGCTGAGAGATATGGGAAATGTTACTGGGACAGTCTCAGGTCATCAAGGAGTTTTTTGTTTGCTTGTTTTATGAGACAGGGTCTTACTGGGTAGCCTAGGCTAGCTACACATTCACTATCCTCCTGCCTCAGACTCTGAGTGCTGGAATTATAGGCATGCTTCTTCGAAGGCACCTAGTGACAAGGAGAGCTGAGGCAGAAGTTCCTCTGACGGAGACGGTAGAGCATCCTAAGAGCAGCTGAGCACTTGGACTTGTAAGCCCAGGTGCTCAGGGAAGCAGGAGCGTGGAAGGGGAAGACGGGTGGGGAGACAGTGGAGAGGGCCAGATGCCAGGTGGAGGTAATGAGGACTCACTGAAACCCTCAGAGCTGAAACAGGATTGTGACTAGGATTAGGGCGAGACTCTCATCTCCACAGCAACAGGGGCAGCCAAGGGCTGGCTTGTGGTGCATGTTTTTAATCCGGGACTTAAGAAGCAGAGGCAGGCAGGTTTCTGTGTGAGACTATTTTGGTCTGTATAGCAAGTTCCAGGTCAATCAGGGATACATAGTGAGATCCCCCCCCCCCCGCCTTTAAAATCAGAATTAGGGGAACTGGAGAAATGTTAAGAGCATATATTGCTCTTACAGAGGATTGGAGTTCTCACATCAGGCTGTTCACAACCACCTGTAACTCCAGCTCCAGGGGATCTGATGCTTTCTTCTGACTTCAGAAGGCACCTGTACTCATATCCACAACCCCTACACAGACACACACACACACACACATTAATAACCCATAAAATTTTTAATGGCTAAGACTGTAAATTCTATGGTAGATGCATTTCACTACCACCACCAAAAATGAGCAAAAATACCAGGCAGTGGTGGTGCGCGCCTTTAATTCTAGCACTCAAGAGGGAGAGACAGGTGCATCTCTGTGAGTTTGCGGCCATCCTGGTCTACAAAGAGTTTCAGGACAGCCAGAACTATTACAGAGAAATCTTGTCTCAAAAAAAAAAAAAAAAAAAAAAAAAAAAAGAGCCAGGCGATGGTGGCGCACGCCTTTAATCCCAGCACTCGGGAGGCAGAGGCAGGCGGATCTCTGTGAGTTTGAGACCAGCCTGGTCTACAGAGCTGGTGCCAGGACAGGCTCCAAAGCCATAGAGAAACCCTGTCTCGAAAAACCAAAAAAAAAAAAAAAATTAAAAATAGAAAAAGAAAACATAGCCGGGCGGTGGTGGCGCACGCCTTTAATCCCAGCACTCGGGAGGCAGAGGCAGGCGGATCTCTGTGAGTTCGAGACCAGCCTGGTCTACAGAGCTAGTGCCAGGACAGGCTCCAAAGCCATAGAGAAACCCTGTCTCGAAAAACCAAAAAAAAAAAAAAAATTAAAAATAGAAAAAGAAAACATAGCCGGGCGGTGGTGGCGCACGCCTTTAATCCCAGCACTCGGGAGGCAGAGGCAGGCGGATCTCAGGGAGGCCAGCCTGGTTTACAAGAGCTAGTTCCGGGACGGTCACCAAAGCTACAGAGAAACCACCACCCTGCCAGATATTTTCCTATATGGTTCAGGCTCCAATAAATATTAGCATGCCTTTCTTGGATTTTTATAATTGTGTTCACAGTGAATTTTTACATTAATTTTTACTCTTAAAGTTTTATTTATTTGTTTGTTTGTTTGTTTATTACTGTGTATACCGGGGTGTGTAGGTACATGCATGTACCACAGTGCAAACGTAGAGGCCAGAAGACAACTCTGTGGTCTCTTCTTCCATCTTTATGTGGGTTCTGGGGACAGAACGCTGGCTTGCTCAGCCAGTGTTTTGCCCACTGAGCCATCTTGCTGTGATTTTAAAGATGTATGACACCACACTGGACTGTGACTTGTAAAAACTTTTTGAAGACAGGCTCTTTTTATGTAGCCTTGGTCAGCCTGGAACTTGCCATGTAGACCAGAGCATCCTCAGCCCCACAAAACCAGCCTACTGTGATTAAAGACATATGCCACCATGTTTGCTTGGTTCCTGATTTTTTTTTTTTGGTTTGGTTTGGGTTTTTGTTATTGTTTTCATTTTTGATTTCTGAGACAGGGTTTCTCTGTGTAGCTCTGCTGTCCTGGGACTCACTCTGTAGACCAGGCTGTCCTCAACTCAGAAATCCGCTTGCCTCTGCTTCCCAAGTGCTAGGATGAAAGACGTGTGCCACCACCAACCAGCCTGAATTTTATTTTTAAAGATGTAATGTTTGTTTGTTTGTTTTAGTTTTTCGAGACAGGGTTTCTCTGTAGCTTTGGAGCCTGTCCTGGCACTAGCTCTTGTAGACCAGGCTGGCCTCGAACTCACAGAGATCCGCCTGCCTCTGCCTCCCGAGTGCTGGGACTAAAGGCGTGCACCACCACCGCCCGGCTATTTGTTTGTTTTTAAGACAGGGTTTCTCTATGTAACAGCCCTGGCTATTCTGGAACTTGCTTTGTAGACTAGACTGGCTTTGAACTCACAGAGATCCACTTGCCTCTACCTCTAGAGTGCTGGATGTATGTCACCACTGCGATTTATTTTGTTTTTGAGACAGGATGTACCATGTGGCCTACGTTGTCTTGGAGCTAGTGTCTTGGAAGATCAGGAGTTCAAGGACTACCTCAGATCCATGGGGAGCTTGAGGCCAGCCTAAAGACTGACAGGGAGACTCTGCCTCCAAAAAAGATCAAAACAAGGAGAGCAAAGCAAGTTCCAGTCTAGTCTAGATGGCAGGAAGCCCTGGAGAAGGAAACAGGGAAAGCCAGGGATGACAGTACAACACCCGCAGCGCTCTGCAGGCAGAGGTGGGCAAATCTCTGAGTTCGAGGCCAGCCTGGTTCATGTAGAGAGCTCTAATATAGTGAGACCCTGTCTCAAAAAGAGAGACGGGTGGGGAGAGAAAGGAGAGGTAATAAGTTGTCTTTTTGTTGTTGTTGTTTGTTTGTTTGTAAAACACTCTTGAGTGCTGGGATTAAAGGCTTCACCACTGCCTAGCCTGGCAAAGCTTTTAAGAGAAAAAAAGAAAATTAGAAAATTTGTATTAAGAAAACACACACACACACACACACACATTTTTTCCTGAGCATGGAGGAACAGGATCAGCTGGGAGACACAGGAAGAAGAGGCATGTCTTCAGTACCCAGCAGAGCCCGGGCTCTGAGGCCGGTGCTCAGTGGCAGGGCTCTGGATCCATGCAGAGTTGGCAAGGCACGTACCTCAACCACAAGAGGTAAGGATGTGCCGAGTCTGTACCTGTGGCCCCTTGAGGAAGGAGTCTAGGAAGCAGATGGTCCCTGTGACTAGGTGAAAGGCAGAGTCCAGAAGCTAGCGTGGAGCAGTGAGTCTGTGGGGACTGCAGGGAGGGAGGGCCTGGGGTCTGTGCATGGGATGCGATGGGGAGGGAGGGTCCTGGGGTCTGTGCAAGGGATGTGATATGGCACAGGGAGCCCACAGAACATGAGTGGGCAGCTGAGGGTTCCGTCCAGGAGCCCAGGGAAGGGAAGGGTGAATTGCTGGGTGGTCTAGGGCTGACTGAGGTGAAGCTGTTTACCTCTCCTGAGACCCTCTCCCTGAGCTGTTTATTTTTTTTAATTTATTTATTTATTTATTATGTATACAACATTCTGCCCCCATGTATGCCTGCAGGCCAGAAGAGGGCACCAGACCCCATTACAGATGGTTGTGAGCCACCATGTGGTTGCTGGGAATTGAACTCAGGACCTTTGGAAGAACAGGAAATGCTCTTAACCGCTGAGCCATCTCTCCAGCCCTTCCTGAGCCGTTTATTAAGATGAAATGGGTAGTGGGTAGTGACAAGGATTTAGCGGGCAGAGGTCAGGAAGTTTGAGGAGTTGAGATGTTGGGAGGAGGATATATGAACAAGAAAGGCAGACTAATGGCATCTCCCTCATAGCTGCCCCGCTGGGGAAAGCCTTCTTGAGCAGGAGGTAGAGAAGAGCCTTGACTCTATGCGTGAACTGGACTCCACCCTCCAATGAGGTCCTGAGCACAGATTCTGAGACATAATAACATTCCTGAGCCCTGTGTGATGGGGACACTGCCTGGCCTCAAGCCGCCCTGTGTATGAGGGGAGTCTCCTCGGCGAAATCCTTAGCTCCACTGGCCATACCAGTGCAAATGCACTCTGAGAAGGAAGCTCAGTGAGCGCCTATCGCCTGCTCACAGTCCAGGGCAGAGCATCTGAGAGAACACCATGGTCACCTCTGTCATGTAGCGGAATTTATTATGAGCACTCCAGCCACGTTGTCTGCCCTGCAACCTCACAGTGTCCCTGAGGTGCCCTCATGATCTTCAGCTCTGGCTCTGACAGGTCTAGTCTGGCCAGGCCACTGACCAGAGATTAGACAAGTGGATGGTTAATACCGCTGACGTCAAGGCCTGGCTGGTTGACCACTGGGAGTTTGGGCCCTCCCGTGGGCAGCAGCACAGTCCATGTGACCTGGGCTCATTAGGCTGCTTCAGTAGCCAGAGAAGCTAGGGGCCAGATCTAAGGGGAGAGAGGGCAGCCATGCCAGACCTGCAGAAGCAGGCTTGGCTGGGAGGCCACCAGCTCTAGGGGCCCAAGCTGGGGAAAGCTAGATAGGAGGGTTGCCCATGGGTCGCTTCCATACTTCTAGGTTCTATAATGTGACATTCAATTCTGCTCGTGTCCTGGGCACCAAACATTGAACCAGTGTAAAATAAGATTCTCCTCTCCCGGAAACCCTTGGAGTCCCCAACACATCTGCTTAACAAGTATCCCAGCCCTGCCCATAGCCTGGGCGTTACTGGCGTAGATCCTGTCGTGTACCAGTCTCTCCCTGGAGTTTTCTTTCTCTTGGCGCCCTGGCATGTCCCTTCCCTCCCCTGGGCTGAGTCTGGCCCACAGGCTGCTCCTCCACCAGGCTCTCATTTATTCATGCACTGATTCCGGCAGGCACTTCTCGTCTGGATGCCCTATGGAGAGTATGTGTAGATTCTGAGGCTGGGCCTGGCGGGCGGGAGGGGGCAAGGGGTGAGAGGTGCTGATTGGGTGGACACTGCAAACTCTGGAACAGCTGCTTCTTTGTCAGTTTGGGCTATCAGAGGTGATCACCTTTGGGTTCTAAAGGACAACCCAAAGGTTGCCAAGGAGATAGGACTGTGAGGCTCTCAAGCTCAGGGGAAACGCAAGGGCAGAGGCACGGACGCATGAAATCTGACATTTCTAGGAACAATAGGGCCATGTGTGGTCAGACATGCTATGTGGGGAGGAATGGCTGACCGGAAGTAGGTTGATGTGGAGGTGAAAGGGAGGAGCCTGCAAGTATTCAGGCAAACTGTGGACCCAAGGACGAGGTTAGTGGTGAAGACAGGGCACGGCTGTTGGAAAGGGTCTCGAGGAACCATGTAGGGTGGGATATGGTGAGAGAGGCTTCCCCACTGGAGGATGGCCAGACAAGGGCTGAGAAGAGCAAGGGGCTAACATGGGCTTGGAAGGAGAGTTTGTAAGATCCTAGGACCCTAAGGTCCATCCCACACATCGGGCAGTCTTTTAGGCCTGTGCTTGAAACGTGGAGATCAGGGAACGGAGGCAAGGGCTGGCCTGATGCCACAGATGAAGCTCTCCCACTCTTGGAAGTTACCCCGGTGGGCATTTCCTCAGACCTCTGGGGAAAGGTGCCTGGCAGTCATCAGCGCCGTCCTATCCATCCTGTCCTGGCTCTGCAGCTAAGGCAGGCTGGGCTGGGAGATTCCACAGGTGGTGAGAAAGGCCTCAGAGCTCTATTTACCCTGGCAGGGGTCCAGGCCCAGGAATGACAAACAGGCACCCTTCCCCCAGCTTAGCCATGATTGGCCTTACCCAGGGACCCCTCATCTCACTAGCCTCCAATCCTGCTACAGCAGCCCAGCCCAGCCGGTTTCTGCTCCTGTTCAGTTTGGACCCAGGACCCCAATCCTCATATGCTGAGAACCTAGAGCCTGGCCTGGATCCTCGGGAACTGCTTTGGTGCCATTACCCCTTGACAAATATCTCCCGTGTGAGTATCCAAGGTGGTTCTGGCTCATGCCATTTTGTTCTCCCCCTTCCCTCTGGAGGGCTGGGATTGCCAGCTTGTGCCGCCCTCTCTAGCTTCTCCTGCTGTTTGGGAGGGTGGGAGTCTAGTGGCTATTTATGACACGGTCAGGTTGGGTCTGGAAGTTATATCAACATCACCTAAGGATGAAAAGCTGTCCTTTCTGTCATCTAGCTACCAGAAATGTAGACTTCACTTTCCGGAAGCTATCACCATCCCAGGGCTGTTTTGCTTAGTCTCCCAACTCACTGGCCTTCACAGCCAGCGTCTAGCCCTAAATTCGTAGCTTACGGCTTTCTCTTCACCCACCTCTCCCTGGCCAGAGGGAAACTGAGGCACGCTTGGGCTTGGCTGTGGTGGTGCTATGAGTCAGCAAGAAGAGAATCCAGGCCTGCTAGATTTGAGGAGTCCTGACTCCCAGCCTGGGGCAGAAAGGGGGTGAGACCTGGTCTCTGTAGGTCTCCACAGCATCAGGAAGGAGAAGATGACATCAGGAGGTAGATATGACCGAGAAGTCCAGCTTGGAAAGGAACAAACAGCAGAAGCCATGGCATTAATCGGATCAGAGCCAGTGGCTGAGAAGCAAGGGGCACAGCTGTTCCACCCTCCCCATCCTGAAAGCCAACACCCCTCCCCAGCTCCCTACCACACCACTTTCCTCACCAGAGCTCTAGGTGGGAAGCAGGAAGAGATGGCCCTGACAGCAAGTCAAGAATGAGTGCTCCCAAAAGTCCCTTCCTCAAAGTCCTGCCCCCACTTCTGACGGGCAGGCTGACAGTAGTCGCTTAATCTTAGAAACGGAATAGAGGGCATAGACATGCAAGGCCAGAAAAGAAACACCGCAAGCAATCTCGCCTGGCCGCCCTCACGTCGCAGCTCTCCCAGCCCACCTCTGCTTCAGCCTCAAGGATACCGACTCTCTGGGGTGAAGAAAAAACTGGTTCAGACAGCCCCTCTCCCTGCTCCATCCACCACTGACAAGCAAAGACTACCGGGCAAGGTAGAAAAGGCGTCAAGTCTGAAAGTCGTCCTTTTAAAGCCCCTCACTGAACTTAAATCTTACGGTGTTCCCACTGCTTTCGGCTGAAGATCCCATGAGGTTTAGAAAGTTATAGGCAGAGTCTTTCAGGGGTTCAGGGCACCTACAATTCTCACAAAGATCTCTGCTTTGACCTGAACCATCGCCCCGATTCTTCAGGGCTCAAGCGACCCCTCCCCATCCAGGCTCTCCCACCTATAGGCTCCGAGGGCACCGAGGGCACCGACTGCCCCTTTGAGGCTAGCCGGCCAGGCCCCCGCTCCTCCCCGGACCAGCCCCTCCTCCCTCGGGCCGCCGGGGATTGGCGGGCCGGGGGCGGGACAGGGGCGGGGCCGGCCACCCTTCATCCCCTGCGGCTGCCGTTGCTGCTGCAGCCCAGCGCTCAGCCTGGAGTGGAGCGGACCTCACTCTTCGGGGCGGAGCGCCGAACGTGCCCACCACGAGGCCAGGTACTGCCGGGGTTAAAGAGCCACCAGCCCAGGAACGCTGTGCGGGTCGAGCCATTATACCTTCTCCGGTCCCTAGTGGGCTTGGGCAGCTCTCTTGTACCCTGAGACCCGAGCAGGCGTCCCAGTTTTCCAAGTCAGAGCCCTGCGCGCTCCAGGGCACAGGTCTGCGAGACTGCCGGTAGGCACCCCAGCTCCAAGCTCGCGCCAGGGTGCTGGGAGGGGCACCTCTTCTACTCCTTTTCTTGGCAGGGCCAAGCTGGACAGCAAGGGGACAGCAGCCCCGGGTTTAAGTTCACAGGACACCTAGTTTGAGGCTCAGGAGACAGTGGACCGACTTCCTGAGTCAGGACCCACCGGCACCAGCTAGAAAGTGGCGGGGAGCAGACGCTGGAGCGCTGCCCCGACGGGCGCTTGAGAGGCAGATCCGCCGGCTGGCACGCGGGCAGTCCGGGTATATTTATTCCGGCCTCGCTGGGCAGAGTCTGAGGGCAGATCGGGCGGGACGCCTGAGGACCCGCGGGATCCATGTTAGCCCCAGAACCAGTGTCATTTGCAGTGGGGCCAATGGGCACCGCCTGCTCTGGGTTCCTTTGGCTCTTTGGCCTGAGGGCGGGGCACAATGGGCGTTCCTCTCCACCTGTGGACCTGGCTGGCCCGAGTGTGAGAACTAGCCAGGGGCCCAAGACTCAGTTTTCAGGAGCCCGCCCCTGCTGGGTGGGCCCCTTTCATTGGCTACAGTGAATGCATACGGTTTGTTTACACTAGAGAAGGGGGCCAAGGGTGGGGCATGTGAGAATCTGCACCCCCCTATCCCACTCCCCTGACCCCCGAGACCAGAATCCAGGTCTGCCGCTAAGGAGACGTACATCAAAGGTTCTTGCTCCCTAAGGAGTACCACGGAGGACACCTCCATGTGCTTTCTTCCTCTAACCTGCCAGTCCTGTTCTTACCTTCAGTACTTCATCCACTTCCCGCCATTATATCGTCCATAGAAGAAATGCCTGGCACATAGTCTGTGATGGGGACTTATTTTTGGAAGGGAAGCCAGTCCCATGGTGCACTCATTGCATGTCAGGGGGTGGGGATAGAAAACTAGATAAACCCAAGGATTGTTCTGTTTGGAAGTAGGGAACTTCTGCACAGTTGTGGAAACCCTTTGTGGGAAGCCCCAAGGTGGAAGGATCTCAAGTGCATGAGGCCGTGCCTGATATATTTTGGAGAGGCTGGGATGACTGAAACCAGGAATGGCAATTTCTGACTTCTTGGGTTTGAGTAGGGGACTGTGTCTCCAGGAAGGATGAGACCGTGTCTCAGAGCTTTCTCCTGCCTGAATCCGTGAAACCTGTCTTCTCGCTGCCCTCTCAAGCCATCCTGCTGAGTGCTGATTCTTGTCTCAAGCTTGCTGTCCACCACAGTCAAGGCTCCAGATAGCCAGCTGGAAAAAGCTGGTTATTCCTGTAGCTGTGTCACTGGCCTGGAGAGTGGCCTTAGAGGCCCACACAAATGGAGAAACAGGCTCAATAAAGGCGGGTAGATCATGAACTCTAGACTGGACCCGGAAAAGATATGAAATTAATGCAGCAAGCCCTGGAAGTCTGGGCTGGGTGTGGGTCGAGGGCAAAGCATGTCTGCAAGGCAGTGCCTGCTAGGGAGATGCAGTTTTGGCTTCTGTGTGCACAGAAGGCTGGGGTGTGATGTGTAGGCTATGCTGTAGCAGGAAGGGGCCCTGAGGGAAGAGTTCTATTTTAGACATCGCCAGGGACCAGGCGCCCCAGAATAGGTAAATTAGATTGAGAACCTTCAGAGGGCTTTGAACCCATTCCCTTCGTTCAGTGATGTTGATTAAGCACCTACTATGTGCCTTGCTCACAGTGTGGTGCCTGGAAGGGTACTGAAGAGGCAGGTCTTTGACTCTGGATGGGAAGACAGATACAGGACGGTAGGGTGGGAACTCTAAAGGACCAGGCAGCACTTCTGGGGGCCAAAGGGAAGGACCAGCTGCTGGGGCAGGAGGGGCTTTCCTGCCAGCAGCCTAGAGTTGCTTGGTTTTGGATTTCCGCTCTGCGGGCCACGTCCTGTACACAGCCCCTCAGCCAGCACGTCTGCACCTGTGTGCGGCCACTGACAATAGGGGTCACCCCAGCTGGCCATCACTTCTGTTTGTCTTTTCCATTATTCAGGTAAATAAGTCTCAGGAACCAGCTTTGAGGTCTCCAAGTTTTCTAGTAGAACCTGGCCTTATGACCCTCCTGGGCTTGGCTCCACTGGATAACATTGCATCCCATTGGAATAGAGTCTGAATTCACGGAGAGCTGAAGATGCAGTGGAGGCCTGTGGAGTCCCTCTTGAGTTCCACCTGGACACCCTATGGTACCTGATGTGCTGAGACACCTGCCTCCTCCTCCACTCACGGCTATTTGGGCTCCTTCCAGGGCTCTCTGTCTTTATGTTTTTAAAGACAGAGTTGTAGCCAGGCAATGGTGGCGCATGCCTTTAATCTCAACATTTGGGAGGCAGAGGCAGGCAGGTCTCTGAGTTTTTCAAAGCCAGCCTAGTCTACAAGAGCTAGTTCCAGGACAGACAGGCTCTAAAGCTACAGAGAAAACCTATCTTGAAAAACAAAACAAAACAACAAAGACAGAGTCGTACTACATAGCTGTGCCTGGTCTGGAACTCTGGAACTTACTGTATAGACCAGGCTAGCCTCTAATTCATAGAGATCCTTCTATCTCTGCCTCCCAAGTGCTGGGCCTTAAGGTTTTTGCCACCACACGTGGGGCTCTGGCTGTCTCCTGCCACCATCTTTCTCCACCTCTCCCTTCGAATGATCATCTTTGTTTCTGACCTTCCTCATTGTCTCTTTCTCCTTGCCTGAATATCAAATCATCTACTTTGTATGGTATTTGTTTCTCTCTGTTTTCTTTTGTCTGTGCCTCTGAATATCCAACCAAGTTTCTCTCTCCCTGGGCCCCTGTCTGTCTGTCTGGTTGTCTGTCTAGATCAGTACGCATGGGCACGTGTTTGAAATGTGAAATGTGTATGTTTTCCCTTGCACTCTCTCCCCTCAGCTCTCTCCCTCCCTCCCTCCCTCCCTCCCTCCCTCCCTCCCTCCCTCCCTCTACCTCAATCCTCCTGACCTAATGTCTCCCCTCCTCCAAGCTGACCTTGCTTTAGCCCCCCCATCAGGGTCTACAACGAGTCCCAAACTGCCCCAGGCCTGTGTTCCAGTTTTCCTTGGGGCCAGGAGTCCGGCTGTCCAAATATTTGGCCACCTCCAGGGGATTCCGGGTCGGCAGGGATGAAGATGGGCTGGCTGGCGCAGGGTCTCCCCTGCCTCTAGGGGGCCACAGTCACGTGATGTCCTGTCCTCTGCCTCAGCAGGACCTCTGGCCGCACGTCCCTCTGAACAAGCTGGCAATGGAGCTGGAGGAGGGACTGCCGCCGGCTCTGGCCAGCTTGGGCCAGGAGGTTCTGGCCGCAGTTTCTCTTAGAACCAGCCTGAGCAGAGAGGGTCCAAGTCGAGGTGGGAGATGAGGCCAAGGTGGCTCGTAAGCATCTGCTGGTTGTCTAGGAAACGTACCCTGTCACAGGAAAGTCTACCTTCCGGCCCCAGCTGGGCTTCTCAGATCTTCCTAGGTACTTCCGGATAGCCAGAATACCAAGACACAGGCTACAGATCCCTGGGCCAAGGGGCAGAGCCTGAGTCTTTGGGGTGTCTAGCTTATCAATGCGCCAGGCCACCAAAGAGTGGCTTTGCCCAGTCCTGCACATGCACCTCGTCAGGTCATATGTGCCAGCCACACACTGGCCACATGCTGCCCTCTCCTGTTCTGCTGTGTGGTGATGATGGGATAGTGGGAGGTACAGGACTGGAGTCTTCTACCACCAATGTGAAGCTGTGGCCTGGGGGAGGGGCCAGGGGTGACTGAGTTTTGATAGGCTCCTACTGGCCCTGTACCTCAGTCTCTTAGGGCAGCAGCTTCTCCCAGCAGTCTCTGGGGCTGTGTGTTAGGGACTTAAAGTTCAAACATGCCGGCTGTGCACTGATTCCCCAGTCATGTACGCTTTGTCCCAGGATGGAGTCTTTGTCTCTGAAATCAGGAGAAGCAGGCCAGCAGAGAGGTCGCTATCTAGAGGTACTCTGTCATAATGGCTAAACTAGGAAAAGCTTTCCCCACCTGGGGCTCCCCGTGATAGGCACAAGGTCACAAGGCTGCCCAGGTCCAAGAAACCTGGGCTATAAAAATGAACTTCACATGACACCCACCCTGCATCGAAACATGGCTACAGGACTGGGAGAAGTGCAGTCCACCGTGCAGCCAGCCTACCCTGCAAGCCCACGTATGTTCCTGAGAATGGAGGTTAGCAGGACCTAGGGACTGTGCTGTAGGATAGAAGGCTGTAGTTCCCATAGTGGCTGATGCAAGCAGCCAACCCATCCTGGCCTGGATTCCTAGGCCTACAAGTCTTTAATTAGCCAAAGTCAACACCTGCAGAGGTGTGCCTGATGAATTCTCGCTCTGTGAAGCCCGCGTGGGCAGGCGTTACTTGATGCACCATCCTGATGATGCTGTAGCCCCTCCCCATCTCCCCACGGAACAAACAAGCCTCAGAGCAATGGCCTGGGACAGCCATCAGTTCACCATCCAGGCCCATACGGCACTCATGACCAAGGCCGTCCTGATGACCTGCCCAAGGACTCGGTGCTCTCTCTACCCTAAGACTTGACCATTCTTTGGACACCCATGGCCTGCTCGTGAAGGCGAAGCCTCCTAGAGCTCCCTCATTCTGTGGCCAGCTTTGGTCTCGCCTCACAGGACCCCTAAGTATCAGAGGACCGCGGGGTCCCGGGCGAGAGTGCTCTGTTCATGTCGCACTGTGAGGCTGATCCAGTCTAGGGCACAGTCTGGGCCTTCGCCTCTGCAGGACTGGCTCCGATGCCAGCTCTTCTTAATCAGGCTCCTCTCCTGAGTACCCTGACTTCCTGACACATAGGAGGGCAGGAGAGAGCGAAGGAGGGTACGGGCTGGAGGAGGTGAGCTGGCAGCCTTGGGAGATGTCTGAGGTTTCCTTCATAGCGTCAAAACTAGTCTCCATTCTGGGGCTCTAGTCCTGAAACTGCCTTCACTGAGTAAAGATGCTCACTTAGCCTCTAAGGCTCTGGAAGGTTTGTCAGTAGCCATGGAATTTTCATTCTACCCTCACCTCCTGCTGATACTACACCTGAGAACCTATGTCCACGCTGTGCCCTCTGCCCAAGGCTCTCTTCCTTGCTTCATGCCTTGGAGCTTCTGTTGGAAATTTAAACCTGGCTACACCACCTCCTCCAGGAAACCTCCCTTGATAACTCCCTCCCCCTAACTTTTTTAGACCCAGAAGAATGTGTTTCACATTCAGTTGTAGTAGGAAATTTAGAGCGGTGGCTGGGAGGAGGGGTAATGGGACATAGAAGAGTATCGTCACCTCTACTAGACTGGAGATCACTTAAGGACAAAGATTCTACATCCTTCCTGGGATCTCGGGGCAGCCTGAGACCTAGTAATGACTGGTTATAAATAATAGCCACCAGGCCCCAAAGACTTCAGCCCCACTGAAAGGGGACAGGGAGCCTAGAGCTGGCACCTTAGGCACCTCCCATGGCCATTCCATGGACTTAGTCTCCCTGGAGGCCGGTCCAGGCTGCTTGGTACCCTGATGCCATAACAGAACGAAGCCCTGCACACACCAAACCAGGCAAGCCTGGGGGCCTCTGTCATTACAGCGGAGAGGTTGCTTGGCCTAGAGTGCTGACACAGCATACTCCAAGGGCTTGTCCCAGCTTGCCCAGGGTGGGGACCGAGCAAGGGCAACCTACTGAGTGCCGGGGGGTGCTCTGGAGGGATTTCGGAGACCTGGCAGTGCAACCTTCCACCTAGGTGCGATTCTGGGAGGGGTGTTGATGGCAGGGCTCATCAGAGGGGCAGTGTGAGGGCAGCCTATGGAGTGATGGGTGACGGAGGGGAAGAGTCCACGAACTGTAGCCCAGGGTCCTCCGTGGGTGAGCTGGGAGGACGAGGAGTTCAAAACTGGCAACCAGGGAGACAGAGGTAGGTAATGGTGCCAGGTGTGGAGTCCCTAGGGCTGAGGTATTCGAGCTCTGAGCTCTGGGCCAGAACAGTGGGTGAGGTACTCTGGTGGGCGTAGTGAGTGAGACAGGTATCTACAGAGTGTGGGGGCCTAAGGCCTGAGCCTAGCTCCCTGGAGCATCAAGATCAATCCTGAGTGTTTGCTTGGGCTTCTTGTAGCTTCCCATCTCAAAGCCAACCTGAGACCCTTAGGGGCTGGAGTAGGGACAGGAGTCAGTGCTGGGTTTGGGATGCCCTGTTATGCTTCAGGCCCAGGCTCTGGCTATCCTGCCTGGCACAGACACCCCTTTCTGGTCTCCACTCTGGTTCAGCCCCACCCCCACCCCCACTAACTACTCTGGCCCTTAGGATGTCCTGAAAAGGCCTGGGTTCACTTTGCCCAGACATCTTCTGGACACAGTAGGTAACCCCTGGCCCCAGAGATGGGAGAGGGGCCAGTGAGTTGTTGTCTGGGCTGTGCTCAGTGGGAAGTGAGGAAGCTGGATCTTCTGCAGTCCAGCTGAGCCAGGCCCAGAGAGAGAAGGGGCACCCAGCAATGACCTGGGCTCCTCTTCAGCCAGCCAAGCCCTGAGCTCCTGGCCCAGGGAAACGAGGGTTCTGCTTAGAGGGTGGCTTGAATGGCAGGCCCTGGATCAGGGGCTCCCTGGCAAGAGAGGCAATGCTAGAAGGAAAGTGTGGTCCTGAGGCCAGGGCTGTGAGGAGCATGAAGACCAAGTGGCCCAGAGAACTGTGCCCTAGGACATCCATTTCCTGGAAGGGCCCCTGAGGGCCTTTCACCACAACCAGGCTGGACAGGCCCAGGTGTCCAGCCCCAGCACCGCCTCAGGCCTCCTGGCTCTGGAGGGGGCATCTTCTGCGCTTGCTGTCCACAGTGCCAGCTCTCAGCCCACAGAGGGCCCTTTGTTCTGACTGCCAACAGAGCCCGCCGGGCATCTGGGAACAGGGCCCACAGCCCTCACCCTCTCCCAAGGCCTCCAGCCATCGGGCAGTGCCATTCTAGGTTGGCCAGGAGGCCCCTGGCACACAGGACCAGTTCAGGAAACTGTGTCCCAGGGCTACTGTGAGGAAGGGGATTCACTCCAAGACGCACATGCAGAGAGGGGTCAGGACCTAGCACTTAGCATTCAGGGTTTCAGGTGCCACTCAGCTATGGACTCAGATCACCCAAATGGTCCAAGCTTCACAGGTAGAGAAACTGAGGCCCTAACAGCTTGCTTGGACTGGTCTACATAGGGGACTTGTACTTATGAGTTGTCCCATCAGGGTGTCCTAGGAGCTCAGGTGTCCAAGTTCTACTCCATACCCCAAAGGCAGAGCCCAAGGAAGAGATGGGTCCCAGTGATCCTCCATGTGCCTGGCTGTCCTAAGTGACCCTCTCAGAGATGTACTATGGCCACTGACTTAATGCGGGAAACCAGACCATGATCCCAAAGATAACCAGAGGGGCTGACTGTTCCACAGACGTCTGACTGTGTTGGTGTGTGAGCGGTGCTCCCAGGGAGTCTCTGAGCCATGGAGATACCCCGACAGACAGAGATGGTGGAACTGGTGCCCAATGGCAAGCACTTGGAGGGGCTTCTACCGGTGGGTGTGTCTGCAACAGACACACAGAGGTAAATAGAAGAGGGACCTGGTGGTAGCTCAGGGAAGGGAAGCACTGGGCAGAGAGACGCACAGGACACAGGGATGGAGCTGAGTCACTTTGTGCCCGTCTCCTACAGGGCCGAAGACCCCCAACACTGTGCAGAAGGCAAGGGCTTCCTTGGGAAAGGCTCCAGCATGACGCCACACTTCACCGACGTGAGCTGGGCAACCTGAGGGACTTGGGGGGCTGGGGGGAAGTTGGGCATGGTGATGAGGGGCTCTGGGGAGGCAACGGGAGACTGAGGGACAACGAGGGAGGATGCTACAATGCCCCATTATTCCCCATCCCACTCTGGTACCTGCAGTTCGAGGGGAAGACATCGTTTGGGATGTCCGTGTTCAATCTCAGCAATGCCATCATGGGCAGTGGCATCCTGGGTCTCGCCTACGCCATGGCCAACACTGGCATCATCCTTTTCCTGTGAGTGCCTCTGCAAACGGCCCTGAACAGCTGCCAACCAGGACCTTCCAGTTCGCTATCCAGTGGGTGGGCACTTCTTACTCTGCACCAGTCCACGGCTACAAAAACATCCCCAGCCGGACAAATATACCTCACTGCTCCTCAAACCCACAAGGCCAGCTCGACAGGCCTGAGTCTGTTCTGCTACGTTTACACATGATGGCTGAACCCTTGTGGCCAGGCCTTGTGTGGCCACATGTGTCCTTGATTTGGTGGCCCTGCCCTGAAGCCTGAATGGAAAACATGTTTGTCCCAACGCCTCCAGAAAGGAAGGGGCTCGGAGCACAGGCACAGGGCACTCTTGACCCAGAGGGCCCCCACCTGGGTCATGTTGCACCCTGGGTCAAAGAGAGTAGTGTTCATATCTCTGGAGTCTCCTGACTTGCACCCGCTCCTCAGACACTTATGTCACAGACAGACTCCTCGCAGCCTCCTTGGGCGCATCACTCCCTGCCAGCCAACCTCCAGCGGCCTCTTTCCTTCACGTTCTCCAGGTTCCTTCTGACAGCTGTTGCCTTGCTATCTAGCTACTCCATCCACCTGCTCCTCAAGTCTTCAGGGATTGTGGGTGAGCCTTGAGCAGGCCTGCGCGGGGGGGGGGGGGGTTAAGGTGAACCAGGGCAAGCTCCCCTGGCTATCCTGACACCGGTTTCTATAGGCATCCGCGCCTATGAGCAGCTGGGCTACCGTGCCTTTGGGACCCCAGGGAAGCTGGCAGCAGCTCTGGCCATCACGCTGCAGAACATTGGAGGTGAGGCTGGTGGTGGGGGCAGTGGGGTGCAGGATGATCTGGCTGGTTCAGCCAGCCTCAGCAGCTGTCCCCTGCCTTCTCCCCCAGCCATGTCCAGCTACCTGTACATCATCAAGTCTGAGTTGCCTCTTGTCATACAGACCTTCCTGAATCTGGAGAAGCCGACCTCGTGAGCCTGGGGAAGGAGGGTGGGAAGCAATGGCTGCCCAGCCAGCCTGCTAGACAGGACAGAAGTGTGGCTGTGGCGAGCAGAGGACTGCAAATAGAGCCACATTCAGTTCCTGTCTGTGTGCGGAACATCCAGGGAAAGCCCCCAGAGGGGACTTTTAGAACTAGAAAGCTAGGGTCCATGTGACCCAGGACCCTGCTCATGAGCAGAAGGGCCTCAGGCTTAGCTCTAAGCACCTGCTATTCCTGACCATGGGGTTACCCCCACCCCCGCCGCCACTACCAAGAGATTAAGCCCAGGGCATGTGTGGGGGTGCCTACTACTTAGCCAGCACCGGCTGGGCATCAGCCTTGCTTTGTGTTTGAGAGGAAGGGAGGAGAGGCTAACCCTGCTCCTGACCACCCAGTGCCTGTAAGCAAGGGGGCCACATGACTGAGAAAATGCTGAGAGAAAGAATTAGGATTCTGCACCTAGGGTCCCAGGGACCTTTCCCAAGGAATCTAGAAGAATGGATGGTCCTGGGCCTTCTACCCTTATCTGTGCCCCGCATTTATTTCCAGGACAGAGGAGGGCCTGAATAATACAAGATGAAGGTGCCCAAGAAAGACCACAAAGGCCACAGTTATTGGCAAGTCCCTGAGACTCCCAAGAAAAACACAGACCCTTCCTGAGCCATGTCCTTTCGTCCTGACACCTGCATCAGGATGGGCCCAGGCCTATGTGCCCTTAGGAAACACTGCCAGCACCTGCAGTCAGGAGAGGACCCACATGAGCTGTGTCCCCGGCCAGCTCACACTCAGGAGTGTGAGATGAGCCCCACCCCCTTTTCCAGATCAAGCTCAGGGAGACTTGGAGTTATAGTTAAATGTTGGTCAGAGGACACAAGGTGGCATTACTGGTGCCATAACAGGGAGAGGCAGGGGACCCCACCCCAGGTTGAGGAGGTTCTGACTGTGGTCCCCACTCTTCTCCCTTCAGGGCGTGGTACATGGATGGCAACTACCTTGTGATCCTGGTGTCTGTCACCATCATTCTGCCCCTAGCACTAATGCGGCAGCTGGGTGAGTCACCAGAGTCGGCCTGGAGGGTGGTGAGGGGACACGCAAGGGAGGCCTGAGTCTCACAGTCCTCTCCTCGGCAGGTTACCTGGGCTACTCCAGTGGCTTCTCTCTCAGCTGCATGGTGTTCTTCTTGATCGCAGTGAGCCACCTTCCATGTTGGTCAGGAGAGAGCAGAGGCCCAAGGGAGTCCTCTGACGGCAGGGCGGGGGTGGAGGGTGGGAGGACCTCCTGGGAAGCCAAGGTGAAAAGGCAGCTCTTCTAAGCTTGAACATGGCTTCACGGCGACTTTGCCAGCAGCTTAGCCTGACACTGACACTCTCACCCATCCTCATCCCAGGTCATCTACAAGAAGTTCCAAGTTCCCTGCTCATTGGCACACGACTTGGCCAATGCCACAGGCAACTTCAGCCACACGGTGGTACTGGAGGAGAAGGCACAGCAACAGGGAGAGCCCGAGGCTGCAGCCTTCTGCACCCCAAACTACTTCACACTCAACTCACAGGTTCCAACAGGCCAAGCCAGGCCAGGGAAGTGGGGAGAGGGCCTGGGGGGACGGCTGCCTTGACATAGTTCTGTGTGTCTCCAGACAGCATACACCATCCCCATCATGGCCTTCGCCTTCGTCTGCCACCCTGAGGTGCTGCCTATATACACAGAACTCAAGGAGTAGGTGTCTGTGGCTGGGAGGGATGGTGGCTGCCTTGACAGTCTGCAGAGAATGATGTGCTCTTAGATATGTGTCTAGAGGGCGAGGGGATAAGACCTATGTCACCAGACCAAAGATATTCATGTTCCATAAGAGTGGGAATTAGGAGCTGGGTGGTGGTGGTGGTGCACACCCTTGATCCCAGCACTCAGGGAGGCAGAGGCAGGTGGATCCCTGTAAGTTTGAGGACAGGCTGATCTACAATGGGAGTTCCAGGATAGCCAGAGCTATTACACAGAGAAACCCTGTCTCAAAAAAAAAAAAAAAAAAAAAAAACCAGAAACAAAAGAACAAAAGACTAGAAATTAGGGGCAAGAAGGAGGCTTTCTCACTGCTGAGTAGAGGAATGTGGTGCCAGTGGGACCCTTGAGTGTCACCAAGCCCCCCCTCACTGTCTGCAGCCCCTCCAAGAAGAAGATGCAGCACATTTCCAACCTGTCCATTGCTGTCATGTACGTCATGTACTTCCTGGCTGCCCTCTTCGGCTACCTCACCTTCTATGGTATGGCTGGATCAGCACGGGTGGGATCAGAGGCCAGGCTGGGAGGCAAGGGCTGGTCAGTGGCCATAGTGTCCTGATTACTATAGGCACTCACTAGATGTGTGATGCCTGACTGTGTCCTGCAGCTGTGGAGGTGAGTCTGAGTGCCACTCCCCACAGTGTCAGGGTCCACCGCCCCCTGGCCTGCTGACCACCCTCCCTGCCTGCCACAGACGGGGTGGAGTCGGAGCTGCTACACACCTACAGCAAGGTGGACCCGTTTGATGCGCTGATCTTATGTGTGCGCGTGGCCGTGCTGATAGCAGTCACACTTACGGTTCCCATCGTTCTGTTCCCGGTGAGCCAGCAGACAGGTTACGGGGCCAGCGGAAGGGAGGGTCTACTGGGGGCCACCGGACTGATGGCGCTTTCCACCTGCCCAGGTACGACGCGCCATCCAGCAGATGCTGTTTCAGAACCAGGAGTTCAGCTGGTTGCGGCACGTGCTCATCGCCACTGGCCTGCTTACTTGCATCAACCTGCTGGTTATCTTCGCCCCCAACATCCTGGGCATCTTTGGGATCATTGGTGAGTCTGGCCTTGCTGTATGAATGGGATAGTGTCCCAGAGACTCTGGTCTCTATACATCCAGCAGACCCCCTCAGCACATACCCTACATGTAAGTGATAGTTGGCCGCCGTGTACATGGTCTAGGCTCCAACTTGAACGCTTGTCCTTAAAACTATTGCAGTCCATTGTTAAGGCTCCAAACCACTGAGTAAGTCCTCTTCACTAGATGACAGGACAGTCTCTAGGACTAAGTCTTCACGAAGGACCTCCCTGGATTGGGGATGGTAGTTATCTTAGCTGGAGAGGATGACACACGAGAATGACTTGAGCCCAGGTGTTCAAGACCAGCCCAGGCAACATAGCGAGATGCTCTAGCAACAGCAAAAGGGCTCAGAAAATTTTACCCCCATTTTACATATCGGGACCAAAGTCCAGAGTGACTGAAGGAACAGAAGAGCTGCAGTTGGGGAGCCCAGGGTCTCGATCCAGCTACAGGACTATCAGACTCCAAGCTTGAGTCTCCGTCCGCTGTCCCATCCCAGCTGAGGTTCCAGGCTGGAAAATTAGACAATTCTGAAACATCTTTGGTATGACCCAAGTCTGACCCCTTGACCCTCCTCTTCAGTCCGCCTCACTGGTCTGGGCGCTGAGACTTGGGACTATCTGAAAACACTCTTGCTTCCATAGCTTCAAATCTGCATCAAACTGAAACCAACAGACAGAAATGCGTTGTTGAAGTGATGGAAAAATCTTGGGGACCGTTGTACCTGTTGAGTCAGCTCTGTGCCACTATAACAGAGCCATGAGGCAATTATAAACCTATAAAGGGAACACACCGGGCTGGTGAGATGGCTGTGTGTGAGGGCCACCAAGCAATGACAGCTTGAGTTTGGACCCCGGGACTCACACGTGGAAGAAGAGAACCGAGTCCTCTAGGTTGTCCTCTGACCTCCACACGTGCACAGTGACACACATGCCCTTACACATGTACACACAGAAAAAACAATAAATGGAAAAATTTAGATTAAATAAAAAGAGAGGAAAGGTTCAGGGGCTGAGGACATAGCTTAGCAGCTTAGTGCTTACTGGAGTGTTTGCCTGGCTATGCGTGCATGGTGCCGTGCCTGGGTTAGAGCCCAGCAGAACATTGTGTGTGGCACAAGCCTGTATTCCCAGCATTGAGAAGGTGGAGGCAGGAAAACCAGGAGCACAAGATCATTCTTTTTTTTTTTTTTTCCTTTCCTTCTCCCCCATCCCCCTCCGAGAGAGAGAGTTTCTCTGTGTAGTTTTGAAGCCTGTCCTGGAACTCGCGCTGTAGACCAGGCTGGCCTCAGACTCACAGAGATCTACCTGCCTCTGGTTCCTGAGTACTGGCATTAAAGGCAAGCACCACTATTGCCCGGCCCAGGGTCATTCTTGACTATACAGATTGAGGCTATCCTGGGATAGCATTGTGCCCATATAAACAAAAAGGCTTATTGGGCTTATACTTTTACAGGTTCCAGTCGTGATTGACTGGTGCCAGTTGATTTGAGGGCTGTAGTGTCATCCATCATGACAGAAGTGTGTGGCAGAACAAAACTGCTTACCCCACGGCCAAGAACTAAAAGGCAAAGAGGAGCAGACCAAAGCCTCACAGTCCCCCTAAGGGGCTCATGCCAACACCTAAGGACCTCCCTCAAGGCTTCACCTCCTAAAGGTCTTGCAGTTCCAAACAACACCAACCTGACAGCCCCAACTTGAACCTCCTAGAGACTCCACCACCAAACACTCATGCCTTCTAAGGGCATTCGAGATCCGAATTATAACAAACTGTTAGGAACCAGGATCCTTAAGGCTTTGTTCTGTAATAAGTTTCTCTTCTTCGTTGTTCGCTTCGTTCACTGACATCTTCCTGACCCACCACCATCGGCCTTGCAGCCTGGTGGATAAGAAGGCAGGAGAAGGCTGGTGGACTCTCCTGGAATCAGTCAGGGCTCTCACACCACAGAGTGCAGCTGATCTCATGGGGAGTCCACCTCAGACCTGTGAGCCAGCTGTTGCTCAGCTCTGCTCTTTGCAGGGGCCACATCTGCTCCGTGCCTCATCTTCATCTTTCCTGCCATCTTCTACTTCCGAATCATGCCCACTGAGAAGGAGCCTGCAAGATCTACCCCTAAAATCCTGGTAGGAGGGGCCTGGAAGCCGGTGGGCTGGGGCGGGGCTGAGGGAATGTCCGTATCTCGTTCTTTCATTCATCTCTGACACTCAACAGGCCCTTTGTTTTGCTGCGGTTGGCTTCCTGCTGATGACCATGAGTTTGAGTTTCATCATCACGGACTGGGTCTCTGGGACCAGCCATCACGGAGGAAACCATTAGGAGGACTCCCATCTTGTTCTGTGTATTCATCCTAGTGCCCCTGCCCTCCCTCTCCAGCCCCTGCTCCCAGCCAGGGGCTCAGTAAGGGGAGAAAGACAGGGGAGAGAGACACTGTAAATACTATAGCATTTGGCTCCACCCATATCCTCTCCCCTTGGAAGGTTTTTTGTTGAAGAGCCAGGACCAAGGCCCTTGGACCACCACCTGCTGGGCTCCAGGGCTGCAGGGGCTTCCTGCGCTCGGAACAGGGTGGGGCTGCTGCCTCAGATCCCACCAAAACCCTCCACCCTCCTCCCCCTTCCACAGCTGTGTACACCGAGACCCAGCAGCCACCTCCTGAGCCACACAGAGCCAGAACCCAGGCCTGAAGGCATCCCCCAGCCCTGCTGGGAAGCTACAGTGTGCACCCAGAGGGCTCATCGCCCCCTCCCCCGCCCAGCCCGCCCCACCTGCTGATCTCCCAGCCCCTTTTCCAACAACTGGGCCCAAAATCTAGGATACTCTTGTTCTCTTCTTGCATCTCCTTCTTAGAGGGAGACCCTATCCTACCCCATATCTGGGGTCTGCAGGTTCTGCTGAGGATGGGGTTTGTATGCACCCTCACCAGTCCTGGGGAGGCTGGGACTCCCACACCTCAAGCCGGGGCCATGACTTACATTCCAGTGCTGGGAGAAGAGAGGCTGGGCCCCGAGTATCCTGCCCTTGGGAGTCAAAACCCAGGAGCCAGACTGGCACAGAGCTGGGGAGACTGGCCTTTTATAAATATTATACATAAGACCAATTGTGTTTTATATTCTTGGTCTCCATATCTTCGGGGTTCTGGAAAATAGGGTAGGGGCTAATAAGGTATGGACGGCACTGGGGTTCTCCTGTCTGCTTGTATACATGAGTGGGGACTGAGCAAGACCCCCCACCCCCACCCCACCTCCTGCCTCTCCGACCAACCAGTGGCATGTTCAGACCCAGCTCTGGGCCCGGGCCAAGTTCAGCACAGACCTGCTTTCTCACGGGGTGAGGTGGGGAGGAATTAATGAGGCCCTAGGAAATGGGACAGAGAGAAGCCTGCGGAAGGAGGCAACGTGAGGTGCATCCCCAGCAGCTCCACAGAGGGTCTGAGCTGGGGGCAACTGAGCCTTGCAGAAGCCTCAGGAAAGGACCCTGCCATCCTCCCGCTCCTAGGCTGTTTGTCAACCCCGTGTTAGTGCCTGGAAGCTGGATCCTTCCCTTTGCAGGACTGTTCTTTTTATTGATAATAAGCACCTCTATGAATAAAGGTAGGTTAGTGAGTCTCAGGGGAGTTGGGGTAGTCCTGAGTGACTAAGGGAGAGTGAAGTTCAAGGCAAGACAGGGACTTCACGGAGCCAGGGCAGCCCCAGGTATCCCGGCCCAAGTGGGACTGGGAAGCTGCCCACTGCAACTTTCAGCTACTGGCCTGAATCAGCTACAGCCCAGAGAGATGGAAGTGCCCAGGCCTTGGCACTAAACCCTCATTAGGAAAGACCCTGCACCAGGCTAGGCCACCAGTGAAAGGACAGCAAGAAAAATCCAGTTTGAACTTGAAAAGCAACTGCCTGCTTGGGAAAGACCTGAAGAAAGAACTTCTTCAAGCTGGTGGCTGCTTGGCCCATAGCTGTGCCAGCTAGCAGAGGGGGCTTCCTGAGTCCCATGGGTCCTGGGTACCTGACTTCAGCCAGGAGCCCCGTGGCCACAAGAAACATCTGGACAGTGACCTCGCGGTAGATGCAACCTAAGGTACAGGAGGGACTGTCCCCCAGGGTTCACCAGTTTCTTCTCTGTTAGATGGGGCACCAGTCTTGTCTAGAATGCTGGCTCGTGGACAGTGGGGGATAATCAAGGGCAGAGTCTATCCCATGGGCAGATCTTAGGGCCTTTACATCCTCTATTAAAGAAGGATGCAGGACAGCACAGAAATGGGACAGCAGCCAAAGCTGCAGGCTTCTCTGTCCAGATGTGACAACAGTAGCCCCCATACAGAGCCAGGGTGCGGAGGGGACCCTCACTGCAGAGCTCTTCTCTGCATGTTCAGCCTGACCATGGGTGGCAGGCTCCAGTAGGAACGGGACAAGTGATGTAGGCACTGTAGATTCAAGAACCATGTACCCACGGGCCTGTGAAGGGAGTATTCCCACACTGGCTGCCAGTCCAGGGACACGAGGATCCAGCCTTCACAAGGACGGTTCCACAGCTCTTTGAACACGATTGAGGATTAGCATATGTTTTGAATAGCTTCCTAGGTCTTTTCCTTCTTTATGCTTTTGAGGAAAACTATATTCTAAACTTGGAAGCGCAGGGTACAGTGCTCGTCTAGGAAGCGTGAGGCTGAGTGCAACTCATGGTAACGCACACACATGCACACACTCAGAGGCATTGGGGAAAATTTGTTTTATTTGAAATATTGCTGTAGGAGCACCCCAAAAGTCTAGCACACTCTTTCTTTTCCTGGTGAGGGAATGAAAGATAAGACCTCACCATGTAGCTCATGCTAGACTTCAAACTTCCAGTTGTCCTCAGAGGTGGGATTACAGGGGTGTGCCACCATACCCAACTCTCATTGCCGTTCATTGCTTTCTAATGACTGCTCGTCATAGAAAAATAAGATAATGTACTTAGTACTGGCTAGACCAGGAAGACTCCATCCAAGTCTAAGGCCAGCCCAAGCTACCTAGTGAGTCCAAAAAGGAGCTGGAGAAATAGCTCAGTGATTAAGAGCACTGGTGGCTGGTCGGTGGTGGCGCACGCCTTTAATCCCAGCACTTGGGAGGCAGAGGCAGGCGGATCTCTGTGAGTTCGAGACCAGCCTGGTCTACAGAGCTAGTTCCAGGACAGGCTCCAAAACCACAGAGAAACCCTGTCTTGAAAAACAAAAAAATAAAAATAAAAAAATAAGAGCACTGGCTGCTCTTCCAGAGGTCCTGAGTTCAATTCCCAGCACCCTCATGGTGGCTCACAACCATCTATAATGAGATCTGGCGTTCTGGCCTGCAGACAGAACACTGTATATAGAATAAATAAATGAATCTTTTAAAAAAGAGACAGAGAGCCAGGCAGTGGTGGTACATGCCTTTAATCCCAACAGTCGGGAGGCAGAGGCAGGCAGATCTCTGTGAGTTGGAGGCCAGTATGGTCTACAAGAGCTAGTTCCAGTACAGGCCCCCAAATTACAGAGAAACCCTGTCTTGAAAAAAACAAAAAGAGAAAGAGAGAGAGAGAGAAGGACCAAAAAGATAATATGGCCAGGAAAATATATTGGTCCCTCACTGCCTAGCAGCTGACCTTGCACACATCTCTGCACCAAGTGTACAATCTTCTTTCATACAAAAAATAAGTCGTCTGTTTTTTGTTTTGTTTTGTTTTGTTATTTTGGTGTTGGATATTAAACCCAGGGTCCAGTTTTATTTCCAGGTAGGGTGGTGGGGATCAGACCCATGGATTCACACATATTAGGCACAGGCTCATCTCTCAAAATATATCGAAGCTATCCCAAAAATATTTATAGAAACTTTTCACAAACATTTTGTTTTGGTTTGGTTTTTTGTTTGTTTTTGTTTTGTTTTTTGTTTGTTTGTTTGTTTTTGAGAGGGTCCCTCTGCATAGTCCTGACTGGCCTGGAACTCACTTTATAGACCAGGCTGACCTCAAAATCACAGAGGTCTACCTGCCTCTGCCTCCTAAGTGCTGGGATTAAAGCATGTGCTGCCACCACCCTGCTGCCAAACACTCCTTAAATGACAATGAACAAGGGGAAGGGACCTTTAGCATACAGGCATTAAACATGACTACTAAGTTATCTCACTCATTAGAAGATACTTTGTACTAGCCGGGCATAGTGGCACACACTTTTAATTCCAGCCCTTGGGAGGCAGAGGCAAGTGGATCTCTGAGTTTGAGGCCAGCCTGGTCTACAGAGTGAGTTCCAGGACAACCAGGGCTACACAGAGAAATTCTTTCTCAAAAAACCAAGTAGATAAAGTAAGGGAAAAAAAAAGAAAGAGAACAAAAATTAAAAAAAAAAAAAGAAGTAGATAAAGAAAATGCTTAGTACTGGACAGAGCAAAAGCATCAAAAGATGCAATGGAGAAGGGTCATGAGGGGGCCAGGGCGGACCTCACAGAAGATGGACTTTCCTTCAGAAACTCAGAAGAAACCATACAGGAATGTTCAGGAGGACATGCAGGGGAAACTCGGGAGATTGTTCCAGTCAGCAGGACCGGACAATGGGAAGCCCTGAGGCCCTCACATGCCCTAACATAGGAGGAACAGCCAGGAGGTCACCGAGGCTGGGCCTGGGTGAAACAAAAAGTGTTCAGAAAAGGCCCCAAAATGAAAGAGAATAAGGTCTGATTCAGATTCAGTGGTAAGTGGCAACTCAACGATTTTTAGTTTTCTTTGTTTTGTTTTGCTTTGCTTTTTTTTTCCTTTGTGTTGCTTTGTGCGCCACCATGCCTGACTGGTTGGTTTTTTAAAGCAGACAATACTTTTTATTTATCTATTTACTTTTGTTTTTGTTTGTTTTTCAAGACAGGGTTTCTCTGTGAGCTTTGGTGCCTAGCCTAGAACTAGCTCTTGTAAACCAGGCTGGCCTCAAACTCACAGAGATCCACCTGCCTCTGCCTCCCAAGTGCTGGGATTAAAGGCGTGCGCCACCACAACCCTATCTATTTACTTTTAATGTGCGTAAGTGTTTTGTCTGCATGTGAACATGAGTATCACACACATGTCTGACCTGAGGAGGTCAGAAGAGGGCATCAGATTGTGTGGAACTGGAGTTAACAGATGGTTGTGAGCCGCCATGTGGATGCTGGGAATCAAGTCAGGCCCCTCTACAAGAGCAGTCAGTGCTTTTAGCCACTGAGCCGTCTCTCCAGCCCTCATGCCTTGTGACAAGATCTGGATATGTCACCTAGATTAGACTGAAATTCCCTCTGCAGACCAGGCTAGCCCTGCACTCACAGATGTCCACCTGCCTCTGCCAAGAGAACGCTAAGATTAAAGGCACATGCTGCCACACCCCACTAGCAAGTCTAAGTGTTATACAGATTGCTCTAGTTGCTGAATTGAGAGCCAGCTTAGAGGTTTAGATTCTGTACTGTTATTCTAAAAGACCCAAGTTTGAGTCCCAGCATCCACATCAGAGGGCTCACAACTACCTGTAACTCTAGCTCCAGGGCTTCCAAAGTCTCTGCCCCTCTTGGGCACTTGCATTTATGTGTTCATACACATATTTTTGAAGATGTATTTATCTATTTTACACACAGTGCTCTGTCTGCAAGTATGCCTGCATGATAGAAGAGGACGCCGTATCTCATTACAGGTGGCTGTGAGCTGCCATGGGTGCTGGGACCTCTGGAAGAACAGCCAGTCCTCTTAACCTCTGAGCCATCTCTCCAGTCCTGTATACACTTTTTTTTAAGTTTAAAAAATGAAATGAAATGAAAAAACAGGGAAGAAAGAAATGAAGGCAGACAGACTGGAAATTAATGCTGAAAAGAATGGAAATGGAAGAGTTTAGCTGGCTGACGAGCTGGAGCTGGTAAAAAGGATGCTGGAGAAACAGAGCAAGAAGACAGCCATGGAGAGGGCATCTACAGTGATACCTGGAAACCAGAGAGCGCAGTGTGGCTGGAAACCTGACCAGTAACAAGCATGTGGGAAGACCTGGGGACATGTGCGGGAGTCTGCCTTGACCCCAGTGTAAAAGCTAAGCAAATGACTTTCCTTCCGACAGCTTGTAGCAGAGACACGAGATGACAAGCCAG